TAAACATTTTAATATAATGGATTTATTCGCAGATCGATCAAAAATTCTTATTTAATATATTATCAAACAAAGACAACCAAAGTTTTGTTGTATAGACCGCCAAATATCTTATAGATATGGCTAAGAATTTTTGTTAGAAAATCATTTAAAGTTAACATGATATGTGAATGGTTATTCTCGTTTGATTCTAATGTTGAAGAAATAGAAAAATAATACTGAACAACATCATTAACCCTTTCCGGTCGGCTCGCAGAAGACAACAAGAAAGAAATGTTAATACTGCATCTTTTATATATGGATGCTACCATATTCCATCCGCAAGTTCAAAGAACTAACACAGAGCTGTTTGTCAACATGTTGTCATTTGGCAACATCTGGCCGTAAGAGTACAAAAAAATTAAAAAAGCCAGTTATTTTTGTTTCATAGATGGGCAATAGTTTGGTGACAGTTCTATTCTATATTGTCAAAATAAAGCATACTTAGCTCATCTATCTATCTTATGGAGCGTTATGATGGAGTAGATCTCAATAATGTCAGAAAACTGATCAAAATGTCATAAATTTCAACAATTTCACCATAAATACTCGTTTGTTGATTAATTTTTCAAACGATTTTTAATGTTGTATGATAGCCTACGTAAAGATACTCTCATGTGTTGTGAATAATGTTAGAATCTCCCTAAATAGATAATGATTTATAGTGGAATTGTTGAAATTTATGACATTTTGATCAGTTTTCTGACATTATTGAGATCTACTCCATCATAACGCTCCATAAGATAGATAGATGAGCTAAGTATGCTTTATTTTGACAATATAGAATAGAACTGTCACCAAACTATTGCCCATCTATGAAACAAAAATAACTGGCTTTTTTAATTTTTTTGTACTCTTACGGCCGGATGTTGCCAAATGGCAACATACTCAAATTTTGTTATTCGAAAATCCTAATTAATCCATGTTATATTCTTAACAGATAATAGGGTTAGAGGCGAAAATTAAGTGCTAGTCACTTCTCATATACAATGCTTGAATAAGCGATAAGAAGATCTTTTCCATTCGGGAGCTCTTTTGGACGTTTCGGAAGAATTTATCCCGTTCGCCAACAGAAGATTACTTCTCTCTAGCAAACACATATATTTGTGCTGAAATGTGTGTAGTTATTTATCGAATGGCATGAAAAACTATATCTCTTCGTTTTAAGAAAAAACTTATATTAACATCAGTAAAATGTTGCCAAATGGCAACATCCGACCGTAAAGGGTTAAAAACGATTGAAATACAACATGTGAAACGAAATAATATCGATCTTAAGAGCAATTTTCAATTTCGTTAATGATTATGTTTAGATGAAATGACTTATTAATTTTTTTATAAATAAAAGTGCTTTTCTTACATATTGTGGATGCATAGACAAACGAGAAAGAAATTTTTATCTTTAAATAGTTCTGTCTTAAACAAAATCAAAAGAAAAATCCTAGTAGTAATTACAATATCTTACTGATATAGAGTTGGAAAATCAATCTAACAGAATCTGATTTCTCATTCGATACGTTGTTTGTTTATGTATGAATTCTATCGTTGAAGATTTATATATTCTGTATTGATCGTCCTTGTTCAAATCATCATTTCTTATATTACAACGAGTTAGTTTATTGTTTTCGAAAGACAATAATTTCATGTCGTTATATATTCATTTCACAATCAGACATTTTCTACCTCGATAAGAACTTTTTTTTGTACTACATACAAACACGATAAAATTACGATGAAAAACACTAAAAGGATGTTAAAAACGAAGAACAATATCAATTCTGTTCATTAATCATATCCATGTGGATGGACTCTGACTAGCAATGTCATACCTGGGTGTATTTGTCGTCTTCGTCGTAAAAGAAGAAGATTTGTCACTTTTGTTTGTAATTCTGGTAAGGACACAGCACAAACAAAAGGAAAAAGAAGAATTATGAAATAACTGGTAAAAGCTGTTGAAGTTGAAAATTCATCGAGTAATGGATTTGATAAACCAACATAAAAGCGAAGAATATAAATAGTAGCATAAGGTAATAATAAAAGAAGGTAGACAAGTGATATGCATAAAACTTGAATGGCCATCTTTCGGTGTTTTTTCCAATGAATGGTTCGTTGTGTTCGAACTCTTTGCCATAAAACACGTCCAAGTAGCGTAATGCTGCAGAAAACAATGGTGAAAGTCGGTAAAACTTGTTCGACGACATAATCATACATTGAAAGTGTATAACTATCATATAAACACGGCCACATACAAACAGGAGACGCTGGATCGGGATAATTTTCACATGGCGGAATGAAATAAACAAGAAAATAAAAGAGAAATAAATAAATAGGAAAGAAAACAAGCGGAAAATAATGAAAAATCAATCGTTTCTTTCTTGTTGAAACCCATCGATCATGAAAGATGAGAATATGTCTTTCAACTGTTGCCCATGCAAACAACATTGTGTGTAGAATATAAAGACTCCAATCTAGAAATCCCCAAATGGTACAAAAGATCATCGATCGATTCCATGTATTTTTATTATGATAGTAATAAAGCATCCAAGGATAAAGCGTGCCATCAGCAAGTAAACAAATGACTAAAAGAGCGATAATAACATGGTTATGAAGTGCCTGACGTAATGTTCGATCAAATAATAAATGATAAAGAACAAATAATGCACAGAGAGTCGAAGGAATATAAAAGATGAGAAATAAACTGAACTTTATTTCGTCGGGTATCATTTTTTTTTATAATAATTTAAATGAAATTCAGTGCATTTCTGATGAGAAATAAGGTTTTTATAATGTTGCTGCAAACACTCTTAATTTAACTTCCAATTAGTAGGACACATCGGATAATTATGTGTTGGATGAATATTTTTAAGTATTTCAAATGAGATCGTTCAAAGAAGATGAAAAAAACAAGCGTAAAGCCTTTGAAATTACAAAAAATCGTATATACCCAGTTCGTTACATTCGCATGAGTGATTATACCAAATCATAAATTAACACAATTGTATCCGAACGTTGAATACGAAGGAAAAAGTTTGACAGGTTCACCAAATAGAATACATTTAGAATTAAGGTGTGTGTCTTTGTGAGACTCGATATTAATTAAACAAAAATAATTTTATTAGTAAATTTCAAAAGTACTTAACATACGACAAATGGATGTAAAATATTAAAGTAAAAAAATTTATCGTTGTGCAATGATGAAATTAATCCAACAGATTGTAAATATAAATATTCCGGCTATTGTAGCAACAATGTTAATGCTTTGTGCTTTCTCGGAAGTATTGATTGCATCTTGTGTTTGTCTGAGAAGTACGAATTTTTCCGTCTCGTTTGAGTAAAACCAAGCAATCGCACCAAAACATATACAACAACAAAATGTGTTGATAATAGACCAAATTTTATAGGTTTTAATCTTCTCGATAGATTGAGATTGACAGATTTCAACGTCAAACTGTTGAACTTCCATTATAATTGAGAAGATTGAAAGTACTGTATCGATGGATTCCGTACGAACAAACTGAAGAGAACATGTTTTGATCTTCTAGACAAAATTCATTGATAAAAATGATTGATTATAAGATCATTACTCAAAAGCCGTGGGAATAGAAATAATCGATCAAATATACGCGATTATTTACATCGACAGAAATGTTTAATTCTTTGTAATCAAACATTCGACCAATGAAAATGGAACAATAAATTACTAAGCGAGATATTTTTATCAAAAACGAGTCATAACTGATTCACATGTTGTCTTGCATAGCAGAGGAAAAGAGCAATTTACTCAACACTATCTATCTATCTATCACTTTGATGGACATAATGAATAATTTGATATATCGATTTATTTTCTGGGGAGAGTATGAATAAAAAGGTGATTGAACGAGATAGAAGTTTACGAAAGTAACGATCTGCTGTATATCGGCTGCACCGTGTTCTATTGACACTCAAATATTGAAATGAATTCATATTTATGAAAGATGATAAGAAATTTTAAAATACAGTTCGTAGAAGAACGCTTTGGTTCTGACATTGTATTGATTTCGAATTTGGTCAAAGGTTTTTTTTTTGTATTTCACTTTGAGGATCTTCATTAGCAAATCAAACAAACTTTGTTTTTTCCTTTTATAGCATCTCATTTTATTTTGTTCGAATCGAGAATTTTGAAAGTACTCTCCTGTACTTCAAAATACGGTGCCACTTCAGATCTGTTCTTTCTTTCTTACTATATAAATAAAGAAATCAAAGACTTCAATCTTACAAAGCCTGATAACTTCTCTATAAAAAGAAAAGTAATGCATTAGTTGGCAGAACCTTCTGTGAATTACTCAGTGTCGTCAACAATACTGTTAATTTAAACAGTTCGATCCAACTATTTTCGATCTTTAGCAACGCCCATATTGAGTCATGGGTACTCAATAACAGAACAAACATTTTCTATGAAGAGTTAAAATCTTGTCATCAATCGATTTCAATTGCACATATTCTATTACATTTCTCGATACACTGTTTTTTTCTTTCGTCAATACAACATTAAGTGGTATAGCATAGGCTTCAACCCTAAACTTATTCATATTTACCATCTATGTACTAATGTATGTTGACGTAAAGGAAGAAAAAATGTCCAATAAATATGGTGGACTATGCACACAGTTAAAACACTCAGGACAAAATACTGATTCCCTTGCTCAAGTTATAATTTTCTTTGTAAAGAATCGATTCTAACGTTGTATAAGTTATGTCAAACATAAACGTTCATGTCTTATATGTATTGAATAAAAGCCTCTAAAAAGAACACCATTTGCATGTAATATTACACCTCTATTTAGTAAAAATGACGTCAGAAATTGTTCTCTCTCTTGTTATTGATGTGTAAACGGTGCAATGACATTCGCGTTAAAGTATTTGTTTTTTTTCCCCTATGTGTCACACTTTGGATCGTCAGCAACGTTTTATTTTGATTAAAAATGAGCAAGGCAAGCATTTCAGACGATTGTATCGTACATAGTCGAAAATATTTATCGAACTTTCATGCCAATGTCAATGAACTTCATCGAACGAAAGAGTTTAGCTATCCAATTTTACAAAAACTACCGAAATTATGTTGTTCGTGCGAAAATAAAAAAGGTTTACTAAGTCTAATATTGATTTCTAATCGAATTCGAATTTATTTAGGTGAACACATCTTTACAGTCGCTCATCTACGCAAATTATGCCAACGAATTCAAGTGTTCGAAGGAAATCTCTCGACAAGTAAATTACACTGTGATAATTCGACTATTTACTATGTCATCTTAACACATTCCGAGAAATTGACAGTTTCACAATGTCTATACAAAATCGGTCGTTTTGTTGGACACAATGGTGAATCTCTTCAACGTTTCGAAAGCTCACGAAACATCACGATTAACATTGTTAACAAACAATCAAATAAAAAACTTCGAGAATTAGCCGATCGACTACAAATCAAATATCACCAGTATTCAACTGATAGTTATATGGTTTGTTTTACAGTTACAAATGGTGATCATCGTCCAAAAAACATCAGTAAAATCAAAAATGCTTTACACAGTAGATGGAATGATATTGTTATGAGAAATTATGACGGAAGAACATATGGATACAATATATCTTCAAGAGAAATCATTGAACCTTCAGTTGAATTCACTGAAGATAGTCGATGGAGACCAAAACGAAGAATACCGAAATCGAAATTAAACAAAATCAAGTGACAAATCAACTCGTAGTCAGATCTCGATGTGAGAATTTATCACTTTAGTTCGTCTCCTTTTTGAGAATGTTGTTCCGCAAAACGAAGAAAAACAGCCTTTTCTTCTTATTTTAAAGTACACATATGACATACTACTTTCTTTTTTTCTCTCTTTACAAAAGTACATCAAACATTCCGTTTCTTTTATGTTAGCAGTTCGCGTTATTCATCGCAATTTTTTTTCTCTTTTCTGTCTGTTTTTTACTGGTTCCTGTTTGATCTTCAACGCAAGAAAATAGTCTTCATATATTTGAATCATTTTTTTTCTGCATGGGGACATTGAGGAAAGAAAAAGACACATTTATGCGACGTATTTGTATTCTTTACAGTGAAACGTATCGTTTGCATTTCATGATGAAAAATAATGATGAAAATTGTTTTCTTTCTAGAGCAAAATGAGCACCGATTTCAATGAGATCCTACCGGATGAATTCATCGATATTGATGATCTATTTTCCCTCCCATTGGATTTCATATCGAACGATGGATACGATGCTCTTGCGATATTTGATAATGAACCTGTTATAAACGAACATCAGACGATATCATCAATACCGACGGTAAAGTCGATGTCGACTTTTTCTCTTTGATTAAACGAGATGATTTGAATTTAGATTGATGAAGATGCAATTGAAAGGTTAACTCCGCCGAATTCCTCTGAGGTAGATTATATATCAAATCTAGTTTGCCGTGTTTGTGGTTCCCGAGCATATGGTTACAATTTCGATCAAATTACTTGTGAGTCTTGCAAAGCGTTTTTCCGTCGAAATGCTTTCAAAGATTTGGTAAACAGAATTGCCTTTCGTTTCAAATCAAATGAGCAACTTCTGCTTTTCAGTCGAATTTCAAATGTCATCATTCTGGTCTGTGTATTATCACCGAACAAACACGACGCCGATGTACATATTGTCGATTGAAGAAATGTTTCGATGTGAAGATGCGCAAAGATTGGATTCGAACTGATGAAGAGCGTCAATTTCGAAAGATGATAAATTCTGAAAAAGAACGAAAGAAATCGATCAATGATCAACAAATCGTCAACAATTTTCCGCTCGTTGTTCGAAAGAAAAAACGTCTAACACTTCTCATGAAAAAAATCTCTAATTCAAAAGTCAATTATTTCCTATCGGATGACGATCGAAGTTTACTGAATAATATCACAAACGCCTATCAAAAAGGTATTTCACAAACAGATGGCTTTCGAATTTACAAATGTACGTCAACACCATCGTTAGTTGAATATATGAATAATGAAAGTCATACACATGAAACATTAATTCATTTTTTTAAATCGATTCCGCAATTTAAACAAATCTCTATATCCGATCAAATTTCATTAATTAAATTCAATCAATTAACTCTCATTCATTTGCATTATATTGTCATCAGAAACTTTCGAGAAAATCTTTTAGTGGGACAACTCATGACTGAATGGGTCAACGGAAATTTCCATCAACAAATGTCAAAAACACGCCGCTATTTCGATATGTTTATCGAATATCCGTTAATCTTGAAATTAACTCTCGTTGTTCTTATATTTTCAACGAGTTTATCAATGCCACACTGTTACAATGATCAATTTAGCAAATATGAAAATCAAAAGCAAATTTTTGAATGTCAAAGCTATTACATTTCATTATTATGGCGTTATCTCAACCATTTATTCGAAGAAAAACAAGCAATTCGATCATTTCAACTTATTGTTACACAATTGTTACGTTTTCAAACATTAATGAATTTTTTTGAAGAATTTGCTCAACAAGATCGAAACCGACATTCATTCAATCAATTAATGAAATCAATTATTCTATTTAAATAAAAATAATCTACTCAAATCTCTTCTCTTCTTGAGAAAAATACATTGAAACTCTCGATGAAACATGTGCTAATTGAACTCATATATTCCATGATTTCTTCCAACAGAATTTCTCTTCCTATTACTCACAAAAAAATGAAAGTATAAGAAAAAAAAAGTTTGTTTTTGTTCTGTCACTACGTTGGAATATAATAGAATAAGAATACACATTGATTTCATCCTTTGTCAACTTTGAATGAAGTTAACTCAAAACGATATTCATTGTATAGTATCATTATTATAGAGAAATCTCAAGATGTTATCATTAGCATCAGGTTTTTTTTTCTATTGTGGAGAAACATTTGTGTAGTCAAAACGCAAAATATATATGACAACGTTCACCGGAGAAAAGTAAATTTGCAAAAGCACAACGGTGATTTTGTTGATGCGAGAGAAATGAAAAAACTCTTCGATCGATTCACTTCGTTACATTTGAAAAATCGACATAGTTACGAAAAACAATGAATTACGACGAGCGAAATGATGAAAATCGTGAAAATGTGACTATTATTTGGTTTAATTCGACTAATGAAAATCTTCAAGTTAAATTAAAACAACTTCGCGAAATCAATGATTACGTTTTATATTTTAATCAATTCGATCAATGTTTTTCGCGTATTCAATCGATTGAAAACGAAACAATGATTTTAATTTTAACTGAAAACGATTTCGCCAAATTTTCTTCATTAATCGACAAATCTTCGCAGATCGATTCGATTTTTCTATTCGATGAAAATTCTAAATCTTCTAACGATTGTCCAAAAGTAATCGGTGTTTATGACAATTTTCAATTATTATGTCATGCGATCGAACAGCAAATCAATTCGATTGAGAAACAATTCCAAACGTTAACCATTTGGAATCAGAAAAATGAAATTTTAAAAGATTTCTCGAGACAATCTGCCGAATTTCTTTGGTTTTTATTATTGAAAAATGTTCTTTATCAATTTCCTTCGAATCAATTTGGAAAGAGACAATTTATTGAGAAATGCCAGATGTATTATCAAGGAAATTCGAAGAAACTTGCAGAGATAAACGACTTCGAAGAAAATTATCGATCGGATTTGGCTTTGGAATGGTTTTTGAAGAAATCTTTCGTTTCAAAATTGTTAAACAAAGCTTTGCGAAGAAAAGATATGATTGAATTATTAAATTTACGATTTTTCATCTTAGATCTTTCGAATAATTTACGAAAACAACATGAAAAACTTCGTGAATCCAACGAAAAAGTTGTTCATGCTTACAAAGAAATGAAAATGTCGATCGAAGAGCTCAATCAACTGAAAGAAAAACACGAAAAATTCATTTCGTTCAATGGATATTTAGTGGCAAGTAAAAGTCGAAATAAAACCTTGGCATCGATATCGAAATCAGTGAAAACTTCAAAGAAAATCTCTGTTCTTCTGGAAATTCAATGTTCAATCGAAGATATCAATGAAAAGACACTTTTCGCAGAATCTTCATCGAATGAAAAAGAAATTTTGTTTGATTTAGGAAATGTTTTTCAAATCGAAAATATTCACGAAGAAAATCAAATCACAATGATCAAATTAAATTCTTCGAATCAACAAGATGAAATTGTTCAAGATTTTCTTCGAATTAATCCAAAAGAAACGAATTTTTTAATTCTTCTTGGTAAACTTACTTTCATCATGGGTTGTTATCAAAAAACAATGAAATATTTCGAACAATTATTAATTTATCAAAAAGATCTTGAAACTATTCGTCTCATTCAATTCTATCTCGCTCGATCTTCACATTTACAAGGTGATTTAAAACGAGCGAAAGATTTATACGATCAAATTTACGATGGATTAATGCATTCGAATCCGATCAATCGAAAAGATACAGGTGAAATTCTTAACCAGATTGGACATGTTTTTGAATTACAATCGAATTACGATGAAGCACTTCGTTTTTATGAAAAATCTCTCGAAACACGAGAAAAGACTTGTTCATCTGATGATCCTGACATCGCCATTAGTCTTATTAGTATTGCAAATCTTTACTTCAAACGACAAAAGTATAACGAAGCTTTAGAACATTTTCAACGAGCAGTGATTATTCAAGAGAAATTGTTTCCCAATTATTTTAATGATTTAGTTAAAACATTGAATTTGATGGGAAAAGTTCTTTTGAAACAGGGAAAATCAAGTGATGCATTGAAGACTTTTCAAAAAGCCTTAAAGATCCAAGAAGATTTCCATTCGAATGATTATCCGGATAAAATCGATACTTTCGAAAATATTTCATTGGCCTATGAAAAATTAAAAATTCCACGAATGGCTCTTGTTCATTACAAAAAGATTTTAGCGATTGAACAGAAATATCTTTCAACGGAGCATCCGCAACGAATTCAAACAGAGAAAAACATTCAAAGACTTTCTTCACTTAAATAATTCACTGATTTTTCTTCAAGTTTTTCAATAAACTTCCTCAATCATTTTCAGAAACCACGAAGAAAAAAAATCTCTTGAAAAGTCGTTTTTTTTTCTCAAAAGGGAAAAAATAATGAATATTCAAGTATTTTCCCGAGATTTCCCGTTGAAAAAGTACATGCAATATTATAATGTCTCAACGAGTCAAATCTTCTCTATTTTATTTTCCTTAAAGCAAATTCAATAAAGGAAATTTGAATAACAATAATGTATTCTTTTATGGTCGACGGATTTTCATTATAAAACACTTGTAATAAGAAATCGAAGTACTTCAATGAAAATTTTTCTAATTAGATGAAATAAATAGCAAAAGTTATTCATTTGAATATGACTATGAACATTGTTGATATAAACAAAGAAGTTTCTCTTCATCTTTGAAATGCTCATCAAAGATTTGTTTGTTTGGTTTCGTGAACAAATCTTCACTTACAATTTATTCATTCCAATTGAAATCGATTCAGAAAATGAAAACGAGCAAATCCAACAAACTAATTCCAATATCAAATATCAAAGATACGCAACTCGTCTTTACGTTCCTCTATTCATTAGTAAGTCAAATTCGTTCTCGATTTTTCTCGTTGGACATAGAAATAGTTGAATTTAATCGTATGATATTTTATTTTTAGTTATATTTTACATAATCTCATTAATAATGCTTGTAAGTCCACGAAGTCGACTGATCACGATATCTGGAATGACTCCAGCGAAATTTAATGAACTTCGTAAAAATCATGGAGAAAGTCTTTCGTGTCCGTGTTCGAGTACAACAATGATTTACAAAGAATTTCTTTCGAATTCGATTTCATTTCATCCAGTTTGTACGAGTATTTTTGTGACGGAACAATGGATTGAAGGAGTTTATTTCGAGAATGCCAGTGCATATTTAATGATGGATTTCCGATCAACAGCAAGTTCTCAGGTTAAATGAAATTCAACGAGAAAAAATTAATTCGACTTGAGTTTTTGTTTCAGTTTGCACTACTCTCAACACTTTGCAAATATTGTCAAAAGATAATCAATGAAGTAGAAATCGATTTGGAAAACGAGATTTTCCTAACTAATGATCTTTATTCCGAAGATGAAGTTCAATCTCAAATCTTAAAAGATGTCGAATTAATTCGTTTAAGTACTCCAATTCGATCGATTTTATCTCTTTTATTTCTTCAAACTATCACTCAATCAAATTCATTTATTTCCGCATTAAACACCAATGCTGTAGTTTATATTTATTATCTACAAAATAGATCTATAGTATCAGCAGGCTTCACCACCTATCAAAATCCGAAATCTCCTGAATTGTCTTATTTGATTTCCACATGTCAATCAATAAATGTAACAGTTCCATCGGGAATTTATAATGTATCTTATGAACAAACAGCTGATTATCGTGCCTTTTGGCCTGCATTTCAACCATTTTTCAATCCAAAACCAATTGTATTAATCAATGGATTTTTCTCTGGTTGTACTCCACTTGATGCTCTTTTGATGAGTTCATTAGATTGTCTATTTAATCAAACTTGTTTAGATTATCTTCCGATTTATTTTCCAAAACTTAATCAGGTAAATGATTTGCTTATAAAAATTTTCACTGCCCGAGTCAACAAATCCGATCGGATTCCTGAAAACGGAATTGCATTGGAATCCAACGAGACAAATCCCGTCGGTTGTTGCAAATTTTATGAGCGATCTTTTTAGCTATGTTCTATGATGACCCTTAGAAAATCCATGTTTCGGACCCGATGAGATCCGACCTGGGTGTATATTAACGCGTTACATTCGAACCGATACGAACTTTAATTCGTTTTTAAACATTTGGTGATTGATCATGATAGTATTATCTTTTGTTCTTAGATTAATTCAAGTTTGATCAATGGTCTTTGTCATTCGAAACAAGAAAAGATTTCGTTAAAAGAAAATTTGAATAATTTGTTAATTGAAGAATGGATAACGAATATAAATTATTCAATTTACTTTGAAAAATGTTCACCTTTGAAATGCTTTTATACAGAAACTAATCGAATGAATTATTCATATGCAATTACATTCTTATTCAGTCTTTACGGTGGTCTTGTTATCATATTAAGACTCATTTCGATGGTTTTGATTAAAATATTGTTTCAATTGAAGATTTATCAAGTGAATCTTCAATTCAATAGAAGTAAATTTACATTTATCTATTAACAAATAAATAAAAATCTTTCTTTTATAGATATTATCATGAGAAATATTCATAAAATAATACAATGGATGAAACAGTTGAATATATTTCCTTCAGTTCAACAAAAAACACCAAATGATATAAAAGAACAACGTTTAGCAACAAAGATTTATTTACTTTTACTTTCAGGTAAAATTCACGCTTCAAAAAATATCGTTTTTTTTAAATAAAATTCTCCTCCAATGGTTTACGATCTGATTTCTTTTCTCAGGTTCATTTCTGATCTTATTGTTATTTACTTCATTAAATTCTGAAATGTTAACAATATACAAAATGAATCCAACATTAAATGAATATAAAATCTTCGAAAATTTGAATTTGAATTCACTTCAATGTCCATGTACAAACATGACTATTTCCTATTCAATATTCAATTCATTTAATCCTATTTTACATGATGTTTGTTCAAGTGATTTCGTCGGTTCAGATTGGATTTCAATGATGAAATTATTAGAAACACTTCCGGAAGGAATTCAATGGTATGGAATCAACGCTCAACAAATTCGTCTATTAGCAAATTTATGTGAAAAAGCAAATAAAACTATTGCAGATGCAACAAATCGTTTTAATCATCGTTTATTGTTCACATTGAATGCGTTAAGTGAGGAAAATTTCAATATTCTCATGAATACAACAATTCAACAACTTATTCAATCATTGATTTTTAATTNCAAGATCAAATTCTCCAAGATTTTCTTCGAATTAATTCAAAAGAAACAAACTTTCTAATCCTTCTTGGTAAACTTACTTTCATCATGGGTTTTTATCCGAAAACAATCAAATATTTCGAACAATTATTAATTTATCAAAAAGATATGGAAACTATTCGTCTCATTCAATTCTATCTCGCTCGATCTTCACATTTACAAGGCGATTTAAAACGAGCGAGAGATCTGTACGATCAAATTTACGATGGATTAATGCATTCGAATCCGATCAATCGGAAGGATACTGGAGAAATTCTTAACCAGATTGGACATGTTCTGGAATTACAATCGAATTACGATGAAGCACTTCGTTTTTATGAAAAATCTCTCGAAACACGAGAAGAGACTTGTTCATCCGACGATCCTGACATTGCCATTAGTCTTATCAGTATCGCAAATCTTTATTTCAAACGACAAAAGTATAACGAAGCTTTGGAACATTTTCAACGCGCAGTGATTATTCAAGAGAAATTGTTTCCCAATCATTTCAATGATTTAGTTAAAACATTGAATTTGATGGGAAAAGTTCTTTTGAAACAAAGCAAATCGAGTGACGCATTGAAGACTTTTCAAAAAGCCTTGAAGATCCAAGAAGATTTCCATTCGAATGATTATCCGGATAAAATCGAGACTTTCGAAAATATTTCATTGGCCTATGAAAAATTAAAAATTCCACGAATGGCTCTTGTTCATTACAAAAAGATTTTAGCGATTGAACAGAAATATCTTTCAACGGAACATCCGCAACGAATTCAAACAGAGAAAAACATTCAAAGACTTTCTTCACTTAAATAATTCACTTTTTCAATAAATTCCTTCATCATTTTCTGAAAAGTCGTTTTTTGTTCTCCAAAGGAAAGAAAAACAATGAGATGTGATACACCCACTGTTTTCCCCATCAGCCAACAGCATAATGAATATTCAAGTATTTTCCTGTGGAAAAAGTACATCCAACATCGTAATGTCTCAACAAGTCAAATCTTCTCTATTTCATTATAAAATATTTGTAATACGAAATCGAGGTACCTCAATTAAAATGTTTCCAGTTGGATGAGATAAAGTAGTAGAAGTTGTTCATTTGAATGCGACTATGAACATTGTTGGTATAAACAAAGAAGTTTGTCTTCATCGTTGAAATGCTCATCAAAGATTTGTTTGTTTGGTTTCGTGAACAAATCTTCACTTACAATTTATTTATTCCAATTGAAATCGATTCGGAAAATGAAAACCAGCAAATACAACAAACAAATTCCAATATCAAATATCAAAGATACGCAACTCGTCTCTACGTTCCTCTATTCATTCGTACGTCAAATTGCTTCTCGGTTGAACATCGTAATAGTTGAATTTAATCGTATGATATTCTATTTTTAGTTATATTTTACATAATTTCGTTAATAATGTTTGTAAGTCCACAAAGTCGACTGATCACGATATCTGGAATAACTCCATCGAAATTCAATGAACTTCGTCAAAATCACGGCGAAAGTCTTTCGTGTCCGTGTTCGAATACGACAATTGTTTACAAAGAATTTCTTTCGAATTCGATTTCATTTCATCCTGTTTGTACGAGTATTTTTGTGACGGAACAATGGATTGAAGGAGTTTATTTCGAAAATGCCAGTGCGTATTTAATGATGGATTTCCGATCAACGGCAAGTTCTCAAGTAAAATGAAATTCAATGAGTAAAAATTCATTCGACTTGAGATTTTCTTTTGGTTTCAGTTCGCATTACTCTCAACACTTTGCAAATATTGTCAAAAGACAATCAATGAAGTCGAAATCAATTTGGAAAACGAGATTTTCCTAACTAATGAACTTTATTCCGAAGAAGAAGTTCAATCTCAAATCTTAAAAGATGTCGAATTAGTTCGTTTAAGTACTCCAATTCGATCGATTCTATCTCTTTTATTTCTTCAAACGATTACTCAATCAAATTCATTTATTTCCGCATTAAACACCAATGCCGTCATTTATGTTCATTATCTACAAAATCGATCTAAAGTATCAGCAGGTTTCACCACCTATCAAAATCCCAAATCTCCTGAATTGTCTTATTTGATTTCCACATGTCAATCAATAAATGTAACAGTTCCATCGGGGATTTATAATGTGTCCTATGAACAAACAGCTGATTATCGTGTCTTTTGGCCTTCATTTCAACCATTTTTCAATCCAAAACCGATTGTTTTAATCAATGGATTTTTCTCTGGTTGTACTCCACTTGATGCTCTTTTGATCAGTTCATTAGATTGTCTATTTAATCAAACTTGTTTAGATTATCTTCCGATTTATTTTCGAAAACTTAATCAGGTAAATGATTTGATTATAAAAAGTTCACTGTGTATTAACATTGACATTCGAACCGATCCGAACTTGAATTTGTTGTTTAGCATTTGCTAATTGATGATGGGAGTCTTATCTTTTGTTCGTAGATTAATTCAAGTCTGATCAATGTTCTTTCTCATTCGAAACAAGAGAAGATTTCGTTAAAAGAAAATTTGAATAATTTGTTAATTGAAGAATGGATAACGAATATCAATTATTCAACTTATTTTGAAAAATGTTCGCCTTTGAAATGCTTTTATACAGAAACCAATCGAATGAATTATTCATATGCAATTACATTCTTATTCAGTCTTTACGGTGGTCTTGTTATCATTCTAAGACTCATTTCCATGGTTTTGATTAAAATCTTCTTTCAATTCAAAATTTATCAAGTGAATATTCAAATCAATAGAAGTAAATTCACGTTTATCTCTTGACAAACGAACAAAACATCTGATTCTTTTTTCTTTATAGATATTATCATGAGAAATATTCATAAAATCATACGATGGATGAAACAGTTGAATATATTTCGTTCAGTTCAACAGAAAACAGCAAATGATATAAAAGAACAACGTTTAGCAACAAAGATTTATTTACTTTTACTTTCAGGTAAATTTGACACTTGAAAGAAAATTCTCCTTCAATGGATTTCTTTTCTCAGGATCATTTCTGATCTTATTGTTATTTACTTCATTGAATTCTCAAATGTTAACAATATACAAAATGAATCCAACATTAAATGAATATAAAACCTTCGAAAATTTCAATTTCAATTCACTTCAATGTCCATGTACAAACACGACCATTTCCTATTCAATATTCAATTCATTTAATCCTGTTTTACATGATGTTTGTTCAAGTAGTTTCGTTGGTTCAGATTGGATTTCAATGATGATATTCTTAGAAACACTTCCGGAAGGAATTCAATGGTATGGAATCAACGCTCAACAAATTCGTCTATTAGCAAATTTATGTGAAAAAGCAAATAAAACTATTGCAGATGCAACAAATCGTTTTAATCNCAAGTAGTTTCGTTGGTTCAGATTGGATTTCAATGATGATATTCTTAGAAACACTTCCGGAAGGAATTCAATGGTATGGAATCAACGCTCAACAAATTCGTCTATTAGCAAATTTAGGTGACAAAGCAAATAAAACTATTGCAGATGCAACAAATCGTTTTAATCATCGGTTATTGTTCACATTGAATGCGTTAAGTGAGGAGAATTTCGATATTCTTCTGAATACAACGATTCAACAACTTATTCAATCATTGATTTTCAATTTTAATCTTTTTATAAATATCTCCTTACTTTTTACTCAAATCGATCAACCTTTTACAAAACCATCTGATGATTATTTTACAATTGATCAACAATTATCAAAAGTAAGGAAATGATCACTTTTTTTTGTTTTGGAAATTGTTCTCTTCAATTTTCATATAGTTAACGATTGTAATGAATAGTTTAACAACGGATGATAACAATCAAACACGTGAATGTATATGCGCAACAAATCCTTCGTGCACAAACGAATTTTCAATAAATGGTTGGAAATGGTACAAATATTCAGGTTACAAAGATCAACAAAGTAGTTTAGGTACAATTCGTGGAATGAAAGAAGGATGTTTTACTATAAATTCTCTTTTACTTTCATCATTTGATTGTTTCTATTCAAATTCATGTCTTTCAGCTGTTTATTCATATGTAAATTCATCGTATATTTCAAAAGATACAGGTATCCCTTGGATTTCTCTCTCATCTCTTGTTTACAATTCTAAAATGAGTCATTTTCCTCCGAATACAACATTTTCGAAAATCATTCAACAAATGTTTGTTGAACAATGGAATCCAATTTCTTCATTTGATCGTTATTATAATTCGTGTTTACCGAGTTATTGTACTTATTCTCAAATGGCTCGAACAAAAAATTCGATTCAAGTTCTAATCGCAGTAGTTTCATCAATTGCTGGTCTTACTGTTGCTTCGCGACTGATAACATTGATTACGATAAAAATTATCTCGAAAATTTTTCGACCAAAAGCTCAGAGATCAATTCCAAGTAAGTTGGAATGACGAGAAAACCTGTTCAAAAAGGAATTTTTTCTTAGCGCGTCTGAAACCATGGATTCAAATGAAAAATATTGTGAAAAATGCGATTGAAACGATCTATAACGGAATTATCAATTTAAATATATTTCCGGAGGAAAAATTCGGAAAGAAACTCAATCAAAATCAAAACTATTGGATTGGTCAAATAGCCACTCGACTTTATCTCGTTATTTTAATAATTGCTCTTATTATTCTGATCATTTACACAATAATTCAACCTCAAGTTTTAACAAAAACCATCGAGAAACCTTCGATGAAAGTTTTCACAACACTCTTCATCAAATATAATAATACACTTCAATGTCCTTGTTCATCGATTTCATCAATGTACAAACGATACGTCACAATTCAACCGACATTTCATCAAGTAAATGAAAAGTGTCATGGACAAGAGAAAATGAATTTTCTTTTCAGATTTGTTCAAGTAAATTCTCTTCTAATGATTGGCGAATTAAAATGACATCAAATCTTTCTTCTGATGTTTCGATATACGATAAACGAGATTATCGTCGTTATTTCTCTTCACATTTGCAATTTCTACATGGTCTATGTGATCTATCGATTGAAACTGTTCATGATTCGATCGAACAATTTCTTTCTTCACTTTATATCACAACTCAACTTCAGCCTTCAAACACATTTCAAACACATATCGATTCCTTTGTTAAACAAAGTCAATCTTCGGCTTCGATCATTGTCGAAAATTTCATTAATTTACTTCGATATGTCAATCATGGAAACGCAATTATATCGACATACGAATCCAATTATCATTATTCTCTACCGAAATGGTACAATTCATCACTTTACTTAGGTATGAAGAGAATTTGTCAGATCGATGAAAATCACATGTGACATTCTATCACGATGGAATATGTTTGTTTATTTAGGATTCATGGCATTGAGTTCTTTAGCATGGAGTGAAGCGATGGTTTATGATGATGAATGTTCATGTGGATTAGTTTTGAATTGTACAAGTCAAGCGAAGTTTTTTCAAGAAAATTCTTCAGAGAATATTGGGATAAAAGGCTTGAAAATCGGCTGTTTACCAACGGAAGCATTTCTTAGTTCAACTCTCGAATGCTTTTATGATCAATTATGTATTGAATCGATTCAAAAACAAGTCAATTATGTCAATGAAACATTCATTTCTCTGACAAATTCAACTCGATTTCTTCATAATACATTAATAATCGATCTTGTCAATGAATTATTCATTGAAACCTGGTCAACAACTGTTAATTATTCGATATATTTCGATTATTGTTCTCCATTGTATTGTTCATATACGTATATTCAACAATTAAATTCATTTTATACAATAACTCTTCTTCTTGGTCTTCATCGTGGTGNCATTTCTCTGACAAATTCAACTCGATTTCTTCATAATACATTAATAATCGATCTTGTCAATGAATTATTCATTGAAACCTGGTCAACAACTGTTAATTATTCGATATATTTCGATTATTGTTCTCCATTGTATTGTTCATATACGTATATTCAACAATTAAATTCATTTTATACAATAACTCTTCTTCTTGGTCTTCATCGTGGTATCAGTCTCATTCTCAAATGGATTTGCCCGAAACTTCTTTATTTTCTCGTCAAAATCTACTTTTCGAGAAAGAAACGATCAAATTTTGTTCATTCACTTCGTAGAAATGACATTTCAACAACTGACTTCTCTCGTTCAACATTTAAATCATCAAAAATCATTCGAATTCCAAGTTCTTCTGATGTTGCATCAATCTCTCCAACAACTGAGTACCAATCTGTTTATTCCTTCTGTTTGTTTCAAACATTCTCTTTCCATTTAGGCAAAAAACTTTTTCTTTTAACTTATTACGATTTCTCTGCATTATTTTAATGATAATCGTCTTCATCTCAATCGCTGTTATTCCTCCGATTTTATATCTTCAACATCAACAAGACAATCCTCTTATAAAAGCAACAACACAAACAGATGAACAGATCTCACAATCGGATTCGAATCAAACAAATACTTATTCAGATACAACAATCACAATTTCATCAGGTTCACATCGATCGAATGTTGTGAAACATCAGCAGCATTCTTCTTCTTCTTTTTTGTTTAGTTTCACCATGTGATGTCTCATTCGACTTGAAATATTCGTATGAAACTGGAAATTCTGCATGGCCAAAGTCTTTAGTAAGTAATGATTTCAATCATGATGGTTATGAAGATGTCGCTGTTGTGAATTATTATTCGAATAATCTTGGAATCTTTTTCGGAAATGGAAATGGAAGTTTAACGCGTCCAAGTTTTTATTCGACAGGATTAACAAGTGGACCGAATCTAATCGCTTGTGCGGATTTAAATAACGACAATCAAAATGATTTAATTGTGAATAATAATTATAATTACAGTGTTGGAATCTTTTTTGGAAATCGAGATGGAACATTTCAAGAACAAAAACAATTCTTAATCGAACAAATCGATTTATTTGCTTTGGGAGATTTCAATAATGATACACATGTTGATTTCGCGATGATTAATAAAACACAAGTGAGTGTTTTACTTGGAAATGGTGATGGGACTTTTCAAAAAGAAATTTCTTCATTATTTCGAATAAATTGTTCTGTTTCATCAGCAACAACAAATGACTTTAATCATGATCATCAATTAGATTTAGTTCTGCTTTGTTTAGAAGAAAATATTCTTTTAATTCTGTTCGGATCGAACAATGGATCATTCTATTCGAAATCAGTTCTTTCGAACGAACGAAATAGTCGAGGATTTGCAATTCTTGCAAAAGATTTCAATGCAGATGATTTGCCTGACATTGCTGTAGTGAATAGTCTGACTTATGATATTGGAATATTTATTTCAAAATCCAATGGAACATTTGAAGAAGTAGTTGTCTATTCAACAGGAGATTCAAGTCGACCAACTGCACTTGTAATCAATGATTTTAATAATGATGATTATTTTGATATCGCTGTTGCCAATCGAAATTCTCATTCAATTGGAATTTTCCTTGGAATTGGTGATGGAACATTTATGGAACAAAAGGAAGTTTTTCTTAATGATGAAACACTTCCTTTTGCCATTCATTCAACGGATTTAAATAATGATGGAAAAATGGATTTGATCATTGCTGATATGAGTTCGAGTATTTTACAAGTTTTGATCAATAATTGTTCTGCTCAAATATAAATTCTTCGCTTTGTTTTCGATATTTTATGATATTTGTCAAATGATTTGAAAAAGAAACTAATAAAGATTGATTTAGGTTGAGAAGAAGAATTGTGAATAATGTCGAAGATTTGTAATAATCCTAAATGCGCTTTTTATTTGGACACGAAATGTTTTGCGAAGAGATGCACCGTACTGTGTCAAAATCGTCAATGTCAAATGTATGGGAAGGACCATTTTGGTCAATTATGTTCTCGTCCGAAGACAAACGATAATTAAAAAAAAGAGAAACCATCGACAATTCGCGGGTGAGACGAGATTTCTCTTTTTGATGAAGAAATGGCTTTGGATTTTATCCAACAAACATTTGCAAATATTTCACAACAACGAAATTTTGCAAATTTTGGTATGAGTCAATTCATGGCACCACCAAGTCGTCAAAATCAACATGTTGAAAACGATTCGGATAATCAAAGTGTCGAATCTGATGAAGAATAAAAAGAGATTTCTTTTCTCTCTATCACTTTTGTTTGTCTCGAACAAATAAAGTGATTAGAGAGGAGAATATGTGTTACAGCTGCTTAAATTTTATATATATGTGCGTTGTTCTTATCAGTAAAACTGAATCAAATAGATTGACAAATGTGAGAAGAATAGACAAATGAATTTCATCAGACCTTTTTATATCAAAGTCTTATCGATGATTCTTCTCTACCAAATGTGTTTTCTAATTTGGTATTTCAATGAAAATGAATCGAATATCAAAGATAGAGATTATTTTTTTACTGCGATTAACTCGGAATTCGAACAAATCTCACGTCAACTCGAACCATTTGCGTTAAAACTGCCGAATTTCTTCGATAAGGACTCACGAGATTGGTTTTCTAATTCGACATTTTACAAACGATATTCTTCGCAATGTTTTGATAATGATTGTGACAAAATTGGATTTTATTTCAATGATCCCAAAGAACATTTGAACGTTTCCGTCACTTTAGTTCAAAATGGTGTTTATTACGATGATTCCTGTGGATATAATTATGATGAAAAAGCTCTTCGAAGGACGTTTGTATCAGAAAATCATGTTTCAGCTATTTATGAACAAGTGATCATTTATACGGTACCGGATGGATGGAGTTTTCAACATTTTCTCGATGGAATTGGACCGAAGTTAGCGATTTCGAGAAAGTATTTAGATCAATATCCCGATTCGAAAGTTTTGATCATAAAAGGACCAAGATTTGATCGATCTGTTCAAGATATATGGAATTTACTTGGTAAATTTGAAGATCGAAACTTTCCCGTTTAGAAATTTCTTTTTTAGGTGTAAACCGATCGGATCGAATTGTTCATTATGATCGTCGAATGAAAATCGGTGCAAAACTCCTGATAAATCCATGTCGAACACCTGGTATTCATCCTTTTCTATGGCACAGTGCTCGTTCGATGTATTGGTCGTTGATAAATCTTCAGAAATTTCAATCAAATCTTCTTATTTATGTGCAACGAACGAGTCAAAATGCGAAGAACGGTGGTCGACTTATTCAAAATGAAAATCTTGTCATTGATTATCTTCATGAATATGCACAGAAATCGTCTTTAATTTATATTGAATATGATCATTCGAAACATAATGAAAACATTGAAAAACAGATTGAACTATTTTCCAATGCTCAGATTATATTTGGTATTCATGGTGGAGCTTTATCAAACATCAATTTCGCTCCATCCAAAACAATAATTATTGAAATTATGCCTTATCGATCTGATAAAAGTTCATTACCCATTGTTTGTTCAAAATCTGATCCAAATCGATTTACACCGTGTGGTGGATATAGTTATTACGTACAAGCGAAATTACTCAATCAATCCTATTGGATTTTACCATCTGTTGTCGATCAACAAAACAATGTCAATGTTAACATGACGAAACTTAGATTACTTTTCAATTCTTTGACTATTTCACATTAGATTATTAGTTTCGTTCGTTACATCGTGTATCACCATTGGAAATGTCAAATCGAACATGAAAATTCTATTACGTCTCTTCCATTATCCATTTCAGAAGACTTCTTTATACGCTGTATTTAGTTCTTCTCTGTGAATTGTTGCCAGACACGATACGTAAAAGAAGACTCCAGCGAGATTAGCCCTTCAAATGAACGACGGGTTCTCCTCAAGCTCCGCCTTCTTCAAAGACTCGTAGACAAACATGAAAGATGGCGTTTCTCCTCGTTCTGGTACTTGTGTTGAACAACTGAACGAGAATTAAACAAAGTATAACGTACCATCAATATTTACCAACCTTTCCTTCAGGTCTAAAGTTTCTTTCATTTTGTTTTTCTCACATTTTCTATTTTATTGTTAATCTATATATTTATTTCTTCTGCAGTCCTCCCAATCTTTAATTTTAATTTTAAAAAATCTACTCTGCTCTTTTGCAGACAACATCAGCAAAGTTGTCTTTCGACCGGTTTCTGTATCATAATCCAAATGCAGTTGGATTATTTCCAAACGTCATCTTTTCTTCTTCGTATTAAAAGTGTTAACGGATAAGGAGATTTAGAAAAGATGAATGATGGTTGTTTATTCAACGCAAACTATCAGATGTCTAACGGATAATTATCTTTACTTGTCAAGCATCTGAAGAATATTCTCCAAAATGGAATCATTGTTGAAGATTGACATAGAAAAATTTCATCGGACATCTTCATTTTTGATTTTCGAATTGAAATTATCGATATTGTTTACCAACATACAATAAGTTTCTGTAAGTTGTCATGGATTTCAATAAATCAATTCTCACCTCGGAAATAGTGAATACTTTTTTCGTTCGAAATGAACTTTTGGGCCTGAGGGTAGTGACATTAGTGTTAGAGTTAAATAATTGTGTAAAAGAAGAATCTTTGATGATTTTCTCACTCTTCAGAATCAGGAACGAGTTAAACATGAGAAAGGCAACGAAGAAAATAATTGTCTGTTGTACAAACTGAGAATAAATAACGATCAAATCGATTTTGTATTTTATTTATGAAGCAGCAATGTCTTTTAACAAGAAACAGAAAACATCAAACAACGATGAAGAACAATTGTTAATCAGTGTAGAAAATGTCAACACTGATTTACAGTCATTTCATAGTTCATTTTATGTTTGGTGAATATGACCTTGATTATTATCGAAAATCGACCTTCAGAACCAAAAAATATCAATTGTGTTCTTGATGATTTGGAATATTACGATTCCACCAGAGATGGATCGATAGAAATGTCTATTGTTGATGGTGTTTGGCAGAGTAAAATATTAGTATCTATGAAAATCAAAGGAGAATTACAGACACATATACAACGATTAGGAAACGTCGGAGAAAGTCATATCTTTGTTTTGTTATGTTCATTCGATAACAAAAATGATCAACAGTGAAACTCGTATCGTTGATCTTGACGATGTTCTCGAAGTTATAAACGATGCCAATGTGAAAGTTTTTGTAAATAAAGTTTGAACTAATTTAATTCATCCGGATGAGAAATCAAATTGAATAGATCTAAACTACAACACAGAAGATCTGAATAATCCAATATATCCTGGTGGTTCGGAACACATTGTTGCTACAAAAATCTGTTCCTGTTATAAGTTTAATATTGACGAATCAGACTTACAATTTCGAACTGTTGTTCATATAGAGCACAATGTAGATTGACTGAAGATGATCTTTGTATTGTATATCGATGGATTTGTCAGCATTGTCTTGGAAAATGTTAATTGAAACATCTGAATAAATCAGATGAAAAGAAAAATCTTCATGTCTGTTTTATTTAGTTGATCCGTCAATTCGAATTTTCTATCACAACAATTACATTGGCTAATCGATATGATCAGATGAGTTTAGATCAAACAAATGAACTTTGCAAAAAGTTAATCGACAGAAAAATATATTTTACTTCTTTGAATAGCTCTTCACCGACGAATTAGACTTCGATATACAAAATATTCTTTATTTTTTAGTAAAAATAACAGCAAAACAGCATTTCAATTAAATGTCAATATGAGCGAGGTGAGATTCTGATCATCCAGAGTTATAATAGGAAGAAATTTCGTATAAACTATCATTTGATACTATGTAGGAAATATATTCTGAAATTAGTTCAGCGATTTCTTATTTTCATTATTCTAATGTCAATGACATGGTGAATCGCATTACTTCTTTGTTCTACTGTCAATATTTGTTCACTGATATATGCTCTTTACACGATCATTTCTTTTCATTTTTCCAACGTGGATGATGTATCCATGCTGGGTTTATTCCCTTTCTATGTGATACGATATCATAAACATCTTACAAAAATGAATTCGAGTGAAATCTTGTACCTTTTTATTGATGTCAGTATAGTCAACAGGTATTATTTCAAGATACTTTCGTAGTCGATGGTAACATCACGCGAGAAAAATTGGAATGAAAACGAACTTACCATATTACCGAGATAATCATCGCAACACTGACTAGTTTTTTTAATTTCAAGTATATGCAGGTAGAATAGCGTCATTCATATGAGTTTCTGTTTGTGTAGATATCGATAAATAACTCGCGATTTTTTCATTAACGCATTCCTTAAACCAATATGCAATTGTCTTCTCAGAACGTGTGTTTATTTGAATATTTTTAGAGAACGTTTTTGATTATTACATATGTTAGCGAACGATTATATACAGTACTGNGACTATTTCCTATTCAATATTCAATTCATTTAATCCTATTTTACATGATGTTTGTTCAAGTGATTTCGTCGGTTCAGATTGGATTTCAATGATGAAATTATTAGAAACACTTCCGGAAGGAATTCAATGGTATGGAATCAACGCTCAACAAATTCGTCTATTAGCAAATTTATGTGAAAAAGCAAATAAAACTATTGCAGATGCAACAAATCGTTTTAATCATCGTTTATTGTTCACATTGAATGCGTTAAGTGAGGAAAATTTCAATATTCTCATGAATACAACAATTCAACAACTTATTCAATCATTGATTTTTAATTTTAATCTTTTTATAAATATATCATTACTTTTTACTCAAATCGATCAACCTTTTACAAAACCAATTGATGATTATTTTACAATTAATTACACAATTAATCAACAATTACCAAAAGTAGGGAAATCATCACTTTTTTGTTCGAACTTTTCCCTTTAATCTTTGATATAGTTAACGATTGTAATGAATAGTTTAACAAGTGACGATAACAATCAAACACGTGAATGCATATGCGCAACAAATCCTTCGTGTACAAACGAATTTTCAATAAATGGTTGGAAATGGTATAAATATTCCGGCTATAAAGATCAACGAAGTAGTTTAGGTACAATTCGTGGAATGGAAGAAGGATGTTTTACTATAAATTCTCTTTTACTTTCATCATTTGAATGTTTCTATTCAAATTCATGTCTATCAGCTGTTTATTCATATATGAATTCATCGTATATTTTAAAAGATACAGGTATTACTTGGATTTCTCTCTCATCTCTTGTTTACAATTCCAAAATGAGTCATTTTCCTCCGAATACAACATTTTCGAAAATCATTCAACAAATGTTTGTTGAACAATGGAATCCAATTTATTCGTTTGATCGTTATTATAATACATGTTTACCGAGTTATTGTACTTATTCTCAAATGGCCCGAACGAAAAATTCGATTCAAGTTTTAATCGCAATAGTTTCATCAATTGCTGGTCTTACTGTTGTTTCGCGATTCATAACATCGATTATTATGAAAATTATCTCGAAAATTTTTCGACCAAAAGCTCAAAGGCAAATTCAAGGTATGTTGTAATGACGAGAAAACCTGTTGAGAAATGAATTTTTTCTTAGCGCATCTGAAACTGTGGATTCAAATAAAAAATATTGTGAAAAATGCGATTGAAACGATCTATAATGGAATTATCAATTTAAATATGTTTCCGGAAGAACAATTTGGAAAGAAATTCAATCAAAATCAAAACTATCGGTTTGGTCAAATAGCCACTCGACTTTATCTTGTTATTTTAATAATTGCTCTTATCATTCTGATCATTTACATAATAATTCAACCTCAAGTTTTAACAAAAATGATCGAAAAACCTTCGATTGAAGTTTTCACAAAACTCTTTATCAAATATAATAACACACTTCAATGTCCTTGTTCATCGATTTCATCAATGTACAAACGATACGTCACAATTCAACCAACATTTCATCAAGTAAATGAAAAGTGTCATTGTCAAGAAAAACGAATTTTCTTTTCAGATTTGTTCAAGTGAATTTTCTTCTAATGATTGGCGAATTAAAATGACATTAAATCTCTCGTCTGATGTTTCAATATACAATAAACGAGATTATCGTCGTTATTTCTCTTCACATTTACAATTTCTACATGGTTTATGTGATCTATCGATTGAAACTGTTAATGATTCGATCGAACAATTTCTTTCTTCACTTTATATCACAACTCAACTTCAGCCTCCAATCACATTTCAAACACATATTGATTCTTTTGTTAAACAAAGTCAATCTTCAGCTTCGATTATTGTTGAAAATTTTATTAATTTACTTCGATATGTCAATCATGGAAACGCAATTATATCGACATACGAATCAAATTATCATTATTATCCACCGAAATGGTACAATTCATCACTTTACTCAGGTATTAAGAGAATTTGTCAGATCGATGAAAATCACATGTGACATTCGTCAACACATGATGGAATATGTCATTTTTGTTTTGTTTATTTAGGATTCATGGCATTGAGTTCTTTAGCATTGAGTGAAGCGATGATTTATGATGATGGATGTTCATGTGGATTAGTTTTGAATTGTACAAGTCAAGCAAAGTTTTTTGAAGAAAATTCTTCAAAGAATATTTGGATAAAAGGCTTGAAAATCGGCTGTTTACCAACGGAAGCATTTCTTAGTTCAACTCTTGAATGTTTTTATGATCAATTATGTATTGAATTGATTCAAAAACAAGTCAATTATATGAATGAAACATTGATTTCTCTGACAAATTCAACTCGATTTCTTCATAATACATTAATAATCGATCTTGTGAATGAATTATTCATTGAAACCTGGTCAACAATTGTTAATTATTCGATATATTTCGATTATTGTTCTCCATTGTATTGTTCATATACGTATATTCAACAATTAAATTCATTTTATACAATAACTCTTCTTCTTGGTCTTCATCGTGGTCTTAGTTTGATTCTCAAATGGATTTGTCCGAAACTTCTTTATTTTCTCATCAAAATCTACTTTTTAAGAAAGAAACGATCAAATTTTGTACATTCACTTCGTAGAAATGATATTTCAACAACTGACTTCTCTCATTCAACATTTAAATCATCAAAAATCACTCAAATTCCAAGTTATTCTGATGTTGCATCAATCTCTCCAACAACTGAGTATCAATCTGTTTATTTCTTCTGTTTGTTTCAAACATTTTCTTTCCATTTAGGCAAAAAACTTTTTCTTTTAACTTACTACGATTTCTCTGCATTAGTTTAATGATAATCCTCTTTATTTCAATCGCTGTTATTCCTCCGATTTTATATCTTCAACATCAACAAGACAACAATCCTCTTATAAAAGCAACAACACAAATAGATGAACAAATCTCCCAATCGAATTCAAATCAAACAAATCCTTATTCAAATCCAACAACCACAATTTCATCAGGTTCGCACATCTATATCGAACATTGTGAAACATCAGTATTTTTCTTTTCTTTTTGTTTAGTTTCACCATGTGATATCTCATTTGAATTGAAATATTCGTATGAAACTGGAAATTCTGCATGGCCAAAGTCTTTAGTAAGTGATGATTTCAATCATGATGGTTATGAAGATGTCGCTGTTGTGAATTATTATTCGAATAATTTTGGAATCTTTTTTGGTAATGGAAATGGAAGTTTAACACATCCAATTTTTTATTCGACAGGATTAACAAGTGGACCGAATCTAATCGCTTGTGCGGATTTAAATAACGATAATCAAAATGATTTGATTGTGAATAATAATTATAATTACAGTGTGGGAATATTTTTTGGAAATCAAAATGGAACATTTCAACAACAAAAACAATTATTAATCGAACAAATCGATTTATTTGCTTTGGGTGATTTCAATAATGATGCACATGTGGATTTTGCAATGATTAATAAAACGCAAGTGAATGTTTTACTTGGAAATGGTGATGGGACTTATCAAAAAGAAATTTCTTCATTATTTCGAATAAATTGTTCTGTTTCATCAGCAATAACAAATGACTTTAATCATGATCATCAATTAGATTTAGTTCTACTTTGTTTACAAGAAAATATTCTTTTAATTCTGTTCGGATCAAACAATGGATCATTTTATTCGACATCAGTTCTTTCGAACGAACGAAATAGTCGTGGATTTGCAATTCTTGCAAAAGATTTCAATGCAGATGATTTACCTGATCTTGTTGTAGTGAATAGTCTGACTTATGATATTGGAATATTTATTTCAAAATCCAATGGAACATTTGAAGAAGTAGTTTTCTATTCAACAGGAGATTCAAGTCGTCCAACTGCTCTTGTAATCAATGATTTTAATAATGATGATTATTTTGATATTGCTGTTGCCAATCGAAATTCTCATTCAATTGGAATTTTTCTTGGAATTGGTGATGGAACATTTATGGAACAAAAGGAAGTTTTTCTTAATGATGAAATACTTCCTTTTGCTATTCATTCAACGGATTTAAATAATGATGGAAAAATGGATTTGATCATTGCTGATATGAGTTCGAGTATTTTACAAGTTTTGATCAATAACTGTTCTGCTCAAATATAAATTCTTCGCTTTGTTTTCGATATTTTATGATATTTGTCAAATGATTTGAAAAAGGAACTAATAAAGATAAGGAAAAGATATATAAAGATTGATTTAGGTTGAGAAGAAGAATTGTGAATAATGTCGAAGGTTTGTAATAATCCTAAATGCGCTTTTTATTTGGACACGAAATGTTTTGCGAAGAGATGCACCGAACTGTGTCAAAATCGTCAATGTCAAATGTATGGGAAGGACCATTTTGGACAATTATGTTCTCGTCCGAAGACAAACGATAATAAAAAAACAGAGAAACCATCGAAAATTGGCGGGTGAGACGAGATTTCTCTTTTTGATGAAGAAATATTTAATTTGTTATAGATCACAAGGAGAAGAAATGGCTTTTGATTTTATTCAACAAACATTTGCAAATATTTCACAACAACGAAAGTTTGCAAATTCTGGTATGAGTCAACTCATGGCGCCACCAAGTCGTCAAAATAAACATGTTGAAAACGATTCGGATAATCAAAGTGTCGAATCTGATGAAGAATAAATTCATATCGAACTTTCAATTCTTTTTTTCTACTTGATTTTCGAATGTAATTACGAGAAAAATAAAAAGATATTTCTTTTCTCTCTATCACTTTTGTTTGTCTCGAACAAATAAAGTGATCAGAGAGGAGAATATGTGTTACAACTGCCTATATTTTATATATATGTGCGTTGTTCTTATCAGTAAAACTGAATCAAATAGATTGACAAACATCTGTTTTATTGTGAGAAGAATAGACAAATGAATTTCATCAGACCTTTTTATATCAAAGTCTTATCGATGATTCTTCTCTACCAAATGTGTTTTCTAATTTGGTATTTCAATGAAAATGAATCGAATATCAAAGATAGAGATTATTTTTTTACTGCGATTAACTCTGAATTCGAACAAATCTCACGTCAACTCGAACCATTTGTATTAAAACTGCCGAATTTCTTCGATAAGAACTCACAAGATTGGTTTTCTAATTCGACATTTTACAAACGATATTCTTCGCAATGTTTTGATAATGATTGTGAGAAAAATGGATTTTATTTCAACGATCCCAAAGAACATTTGAACGTTTCCGTCACTTTAGTTCAAAATGGCGTTTATTACGATGATTCTTGTGGATATAATTATGATGAAAAAGCTCTTCGAAGGACGTTTGTATCAGAAAATCATGTTTCAGCTGTTTATGAACAAGTGATCATTTATACGGTACCGGATGGATGGAGTTTTCAACATTTTCTCGATGGAATTGGACCGAAGTTAGCGATTTCGAGAAAATATTTAGATCAATATCCTGATTCGAAAGTTTTAATCATAAAAGGACCAAGATTTGATCGATCTGTTCAAGAAATATGGAATTTTCTCGGTAAATTTCAAGATCAAAACATTCCCATTTGGAAATTTCTTTTTTAGGTGTAAACCAATCGAAACGAATTATTCATTATAATCGTCGAATGAAAATCGGTGCAAAACTCCTGATAAATCCATGTCGAACACCTGGTATTCATCCTTTTCTATGGTACAATGCTCGTTCAATGTATTGGTCGTTGATAAATCTTCAGAAATTTCAATCAAATCTGCTCATTTATGTACAACGAACGAGTGAAAATGCGAAGAACGGTGGTCGACTTATTCAAAATGAAAATCTTGTTATTGATTATCTTCATGAATATGCACAGAAATCGTCTTTAATTTATATTGAATATGATCATTCGAAACATAATGAAAACATTCAAAAACAGATTGAACTATTTTCCAATGCTCAGATTATATTTGGTATTCATGGTGGAGCTTTATCAAACATCAATTTCGCTTCATCAAAAACAATAATTATTGAAATCATGCCTTATCGATCTGATAAAAGTTCATTACCCATTGTTTGTTCAAAATCTGATCCAAATCGATTTACACCATGTGGTGGATATAGTTATTATGTACAAGCGAACTTACTCAATCAATCCTATTGGATTTTACCATCTGTTGTCGATCAACAAAACAATGTTAATGTTAACATGACTAAACTTAGATTACTTTTCAATTCATTGACTATTTCACATTAGATTATTAGTTTCGTTCGTTACATCGTGTATCAGGTTTCTTCCTTCTGTTGTATATTCGTATTCTTATGATAAAAGAATGTTTGACTCATGTTCCTTCACGACTGACGAAGAAAAGAAATCTGACCATTGTAAATGTCAAATCGAAAATGAAAATTTTATTACGTCTCTTTCATTATTCATTTCAGAAGACTTCTTTATACGCTGTATTTAGTTCTTCTCTGTGGATTATTGGTAATTTGTTGCCAGACACGATACGTAAAAGAAGATTCCAGCGAGATTAGTCTTTCAAATGAACGACTAGTTCCCCTCAAGCTCCTCTTTCTTCAAAGACTCGTAAACAAACATGAAAATAACGATCCATTTAATCGTATGTGCGCTAATAGTGGTCGTTTCAATGGTTATTTTTCCCAAGATGATACCTGTATCTCTGATCGTGTTTGCTGCAGTGATTGTTGTGACATTAATAGTGACTATGAAGAAGGCGTTTCTCCTCGTTCTAGTACTTGTGTTGAACAATTGGACAAGAATTAAACAAAGTGTAACGTATCATCAATATTTGTCAATACAGAACGATGTCGTCCAGTATGTACCATCCTTTTCTTCTGATCTAAAGTTTTTTTCATTTTGTTTTTGTCACATTTTCACCGCATTTATGTATTCTATTTTATTGTTAATCTATACACTTATTTCTTCCGCCAGTCTTCCCAACCTTTAATTTTAATAAAAAAAACTCCAATTAAGAATCTAACCTAATCTCTTGCAGACAAGATCAGCAAAAATTTGTCTTTCGACTGGTTTCTGTATCATAATCCAAATGCAGTTGGATTATTTCCAAACGTCATCTTCTCTTCTTCGTATTAAAAGTGTTAACGGATAGAGACGTTTAGAAAAGATGAATGATGGTTGTTTATTCAACGTAAACGATCAGATGTCTGACGGATAATTATCTTTACTTATCAAGCATCTGAAGAATATTCTCCAAAATGGAATCATTGTTGAAGGTTGGCATAGAAAAATTTCATCGGACATCTTCTTTTTTGATTTTGGAATTGAAATTATCGATAATGTTTACCAACATACGATAAGTTTCTGTAAGTTGTAATGGATTTCAATAAATCAATTCTCACCTCGGAAATAGTGAATACTTTTTTCATTCGAAATGAACTTTTTGGCCTGAGAGAGAGCAGTGACATTAGTATTAGAGTTAAATAACTGTGTAAAAGAAGAATCTTTGATGATTTTCTCACTCTTCGGAATGAAATAATTCAGTTTTTGAAATAAAACTTCGTTCATGTGATTCTATTCTCTATATCGTTAAAACAATTCATTAGTTACTCTCATCCGGATATTGAAATCTCGACCAAATCTACTTACGCCGAAAATTCAATATTCTACAGATAAATTATGCTAGAAAAGAACTATAAATATGATCAATGAGATAAGTTAATCCGTAGTTGTACTGTAGAATGACACGCTTAGCAACTCTCAAGGATCAGGAATGAGTTAAACATGGAAAAAGCACCAAAAGAAGTAATTGTCTGTGGTACAACCGAGAATGAATAACGATCAAATCGATATGGTTTTTAATTTATGAAGAAATAATGTCTGTTAACAAGAAACAGAAAACATCAAACATTGATAATCAGTGTGAAAAAAATCAACATTGATTTACAGCATTTCATAGTTCATTTTATGTTTGGTGAAATATGGTCTTGATTATTATCGGAAAGCGATCTTCAGAACCAAATATTAATTGTGTTGTTCATGCTTATTGGAATATTACGATTCAATCAGAGATGGATTCATAGAAATGTGTATTGTTGATATGATGTTTGGCAGAATAAAACATTAGTATCTATGAAAATCAAAGGAGAATTACAGAGACATGTTCAACGATTAGAAAACGTCGGAGAAAGTCATTTAGGTCATCTATCTTTGTTTTGTTATGTTCATTCGATAACAAAAATGATCAACAGCGAAAATCGTATCATTGATCTTGACGATGTTCTCGAAGTTATAAACGATACCAATTCGAAAGTTTTTGTTAAGAAAATTTTAACTAATTTAATTCATCCGGATGAGAAATCAAATGGGCCCATGTGAAATTTTTTTGAGTATAAACGCGTTTAAAACGCGTTTGGGATGCGTGTCAAACGCACCAAACGCGATAGAAATGAAACATTTGATGCATCTAGATGCGTTAATCAAACGCATCCAGACGCGTCTTTCAGATGCGTTCAACTGCGTTTCTCTCTCAAAACGCGTCCACACACGTCCGAAGAGACGATGAAACATCTGACGGCATAAACGCGTTTCTTTTTCAAAACGCGTCCAGACGCGTTCGAAGAGATGGCTTTTTCCAAAAAAGCATTCTATTCCTACAGCTTTGACCTGCGTCACCATCATTCTCTCCTGATGTTCATCTCTTCCACCACGCTTCTACTAGGACATCTATTCAATTTTTATACATACATTTAGATGGTTCGACGAGTGAGACTAGAACATAAAACCTTTCAATTACAAGTCTACTTACTTAGGCCATTGCACTATATTGGCTTATCTATGAACAAGTTAGATTTCTTTTTTAAGAAGATAATTCGTCCAGGACTTATCTCAAATGAAATGAATCGTACAAAAAATTCATGAATATATCTGGATATTAACTAATAATGCGTACTTCAGGTGTTTTTCTAACGACAAAACTCAGATTCTTTTCTATTGAATCGGAAAGATAAATCAACTTTCTTCCTATTCTCATTTAAGAAGAATAATGCGATGTCCTAGTGAAATCTTTGTTTGTTGAGTGAGAAATTATTTTAATATGAATTGTTAATAATTTTGATCCTCGGCACGGCTTTGGTGAATAAAATATTGTTTATCTCTATTCCTGATGAATCTAATGAGCGATTCCTAGCGATGGCAGCAGATTTTGTTCATGCTTTTGATGAACTTTTATTTTCCATTATCTCTTTACTTATATTAATGGTTCTGTTTTTCAATTGAAAACCTTTCAGATCTTTTCATGAGTTACAATGAGAACAGTTGACAGAAAGTCATATCGAACGAACAGCCTAGAGGTTTCACACAAAAAGATACAATTTAGTAGAGTAAGTGAACGAAGTTTTTAAAAGAAGGTACTGTGGAAAATGCATTTTCAATGATTCGAATGGAAGAGTTTGTCATTTCAGACGCGTTTGAACGCACCAACTGCCGAAAACACACATAAACGCGCCCAGACGCGTTTATATGATGCGCCTGGTCGCGTTTCTTAGGATCTATCGCGTTCAGACGCGCTTATAGGATGCGTCTAGACGCGTTTCTTAATTCTATCGCGTTCGGATGCGTTTATAGGATGCGTCTAGGCGCATTTCTTAGTTGTATCGCGTTCGGGNCATATGAGTTTCTGTTTGTGTAGATATCGATAAATAACTCGCGATTTTTTCATTAACGCATTCCTTAAACCAATATGCAATTGTCTTCTCAGAACGTGTGTTTATTTGAATATTTTTAGAGAACGTTTTTGATTATTACATATGTTAGCGAACGATTATATACAGTACTGGTCAAAATTATAAGAACAGAGCTTTTCTCAAAGTGTTAGCGTGTTCTCATCTCCTCTTTTCCTATTTAGACTAATTTAAAAATCAGTATATATATATCCAAGTACTTGGATATATATATACTGATTTTTAAATTAGTCTAAATAGGAAAAGAGGAGATGAGAACACGCTAACACTTTGAGAAAAGCTCTGTTCTTATAATTTTGACCAGCACTGTAAATCGACAAGCATTAGACGATTCGAACCATGACATTGGCTCTTATTATGACATGCGACGCGATCGGTTTTTAATGCATTCCTGCTTAAAAACTGGGATTGTATTAGATAAAAATATCTTGGATATCTCACCTTGCACGAGTATTGTTTACGAGCATAGTTTTCGTGATACGATGGCTGATAAATTTAAAAAATTTAAAATTGATCTGGATCTATCTGCGAGTATCTTATCTGATCTGGCAAAACCGAGTGGTTCGTTCAAGTTCTTAACAGAATCCCCAAAAACGAGTCATATTGTCCAAGCGTCCATTTTCTACCGCGAAACAGTCCGATCGAAACAATTCAAGGAAGCGATTCTAAATAACAACAAGAAATTAAACGAATTGATTACATTTAAACGACAACCGATCGAGGCCACGCACATCGTTATCGGTGCTATTTACGGTTTCTGTGTCAGTGCAAATTTCGAACGACGAGTTGAAAAGAATGAAAACAAATGTGAAGTCGAAGGTAAATTAAAAGTCATGCTAACTGAAGTTAAAGCTCTTTCGTCCGGCTCGGTTGGAGGCGGTGCAGAATATAAACAAACGTCGACAATAAGTAAGAATACATTTCATGTCAAAATCTACACCGATATCAAGTTTACCAATCAACTACCACAAACTGTTGACGAAAGTTTAGCATTTTTTAAAGATCTGCCAAAATCCATGGAAAAAATGACCTCACAAGCTAAGCCAATTGAATATATTCTTTATCCTATTAACAATCTCAAACGTCAATTGAAAATATCTATCGATGGTTTGGACAGTTGTCTCATAAGTCAAGGGACTTTATTCAAAATTCAATTAAATGCGGATCATTTACTCGAAATACAACAGAAATATGCTGATTACTTTGAAATGTACGAAAGTGTTTCAGTTTGCATATCAGATGTAACACGTAAATGCATTGGAAAGCGACATTTTGAACTGCTACATGCTCAGGTTGCATATCGTGAAATGCTAAGCGAAAACTTAGTGAAAGTTCGCAGCAATAATATTGATGAAAGGACATTTCTAGAACAAATCAATACTTCTTTTGATAAACTTGTCCAAATGCACGAACAAAGCTATTCTCAAAACGAACAAATTCATTTTCTTCGTATTGCATCAGATCGTGGATGCATTTTAGTCGATAACAATACTGCGGAGAGTCTTATGCTCTGTGAATATGGCGAAAAAGAACAAGATCTATTTATTGGCGTTATCAATGATCATCTAATAGTCAATAATGATGCCAGTTGGAAACTTTTCATGAAGAAATTCACTGACCTTATGCACTCAAGGAAAGACAATGTCAAATTTATCCTTCGTAATAATAATTTAGATCCAACTAATGCAGATTCAAAATTACCAACTAATTTTAGTATTCTTCATTACGTTGACAGAAAGTTAATAAGAACGGAGCTTATAGACATCAATGATAATCTTCATGATACAAAACAATATTGCCATCGATGTGGAGCAGAGGACAACGAAGAACGATTTGTCGCGTTTGGGTGTGATAAAGATGGAGTACAAACACCACATTATAATGATGTCAGAAGGGTATCAGAGTATGGAAAGGTTATTAGCTATGATAGTTCACGCCAGTATGGTGTCACGTGTTTGAAATATTCAGCTGGTATTCATCGAATTGAATTTAAAATTTTGTCTTGTGAAAGTAAAACACTTCAGCTTCACATGAATATGATTCACAACTACGATGACATTTCACGCGTTCAAATCAAATTTGGTGCACCAATTCTGTCTACTGAAAAATTGTGTGAAGTTAATGATATATTTGAATTAACGATCGATTGTGATGCGTATAAAGTTGTGTTAGTCAATCGAAGAACAAGATGGACACAAGCAATTGGCGTTGATACCGAGAAATATCCGTTACCATGGGCTTGTCTATTCAGACACAGTAGTGCATATCTTCGCACTCCAAAAGTACAATTACGCATAGTTTAGTGGAAAATCGACAATAGGAATTTTGACAATCTTGCAGATTTGAAAAACTGCATAGGCTTTCTTAGGAGTATTTCAGTACAAATTTTCATGTAGTATCCTACTGCCCAGACCTATCCACACCCTTACATCCTCATCTGCACCCCACCCTATCTCTAGGCAGTTTTTTAAATCCGACAATATTGCCCAAATTCCTATTATCGATTTTCCGTTTTACTCTACGCATAAATAAAAGCACTCATAAGAGAAATTCGTAAAGCAATCAATCATGGTTTTATTCAGTTCTAATTGAAACTAACATACGACAGAAAATTTAACAGTCTATATGACGGCATATTCGCTGCATATTGTGAATTGCGATAAAGGGCCAGTGAAATCAATATGACATGTCGATAATTTCGACCATCTATTCTCGAGCAGTGTATGCTTTGAAAAATGAAGTTTTCGAAGCACTATTTTTGTCATTCGAGAGAAGAAAAACATTTCGTAATTCGTTCTGTGGCACTCATAATTGAAAATATGAGTTCAAATTTGATCTCTTCCACCGAGATATGTTCAGTTCGTCAACAATGAATAAATATCTAAGGATCCGAATACAAGCAAAGTAGAAAAGATGCTGAATCAGACGAGCGTTGAAATATGGCTCATTAGTGATCAACACCGTTTTTTATTGGTGAAAGAAGAACATAGAGTTCTGGGTTATAATTACTCTACCATGAATATGAAGATAATGCGGAAGAACGCAAATATTCATCGGATGAACTGCTAGTTTTAGGGCATGATAACGGACGGTAAAAAACGTTTAAGAACATGTTAAAAGCAAAGAGGATTTTAGTATGGGCATCAGATTAAACGGTTTTAGAAAAGCTTCTAATATATAGCAGGAGCGTTAGTGAAAGGCTTAATTTTTTTGAAAGGATACTCGTCTCCTAACGGTTAAAACATAGAAAAAGTTTTAAATGAATTTATTTATATTTCCAAATTCTGCTCACGAAATAATCAAATTGTGGTTCGATGGTTCAACTATGTGTACAATTCCAACGAACTATATGAAACTACTGATATTAAATTCGAATCAAGTCTTTTATGGGAAGAACATCCAATTGAACTAATTGAAAAACTAAAATACATTGGATGATCAATAAGTTCTAGCAGCATAATGAGTTAAAACCTCATTCTTGTTCCTTTTATTTCTTACGATGTACTTCTTCAGAAAAGATTTATATGTGTAATGAAAAACAAAAGTATAAGACAAAGATAAATGATTTAATTGGTGAAGAATGTCAAACTACCGGATCACCTGGACTGGTCAGATTTGTCGATTGATTCTCGTTAATATAAACACGTCTAACTCGTTGACCAATAGTTGAGATAAATTCGAAGACAATTGTGTCACATTGTTTAGCCACTTCCTCAATATTAATATGATGACCAAATATTTCCACTGATTCGTTTTGTAATTCATGTTCATTTTCTACCGAAACATCGGTTAGATCAATCATAGCATAATCCATACAAATCGAACCTATAAATGGCACTCGACAATTGTGTATCCATACATGTCCGTGACCATTTCCTAAATGTCGTTTCAATCCATCCGCATATCCAATAGAAATAATGCCAATGAGAGAATCTCGATTTACTAGTCCACGTCGATTATAACCGATAGTGGAACCTTTTTTCACACGACGTACTTGAGTAATAGTGCTCGTTAAAGAAATAGCCGTTAGTAAAGGTGCTAGATAAGGTAGAAAACAAGTAGCAGCACCGTAGAGACCACCTCCAATACGGACCATGTCGAAATGGAACTGAGGATGACGTAAAGTACCCATTGAGTTGCATATGTGTTTTAGTAGTGGATAGCCGAGACCTTGTTCCATGGCACTAGCACTGGAAATAAACAAATTGGCTTGTTCGTTGGTATAACGATCCTCTTGAGGATCGTCGCTTGCTGCAGCATGACTATAGATCGATTTCACTGTTAGAGAACAGCAAAAACAGTCTGACAGGATGGCCAACAGTTCTGGAAGTTCTTCAAATTCTAAGCCCAAACGATTCATACCAGTGTTCATTTTTATGTGAAGATTTGGAAAGGTTCCTACAAAAAATATTAACATTAATCTCTTAAGAAAGATAAACTAAGCAACTCGTCGTTTGCAGTATGTTTAAATGCATATTAGATTTTCACTATCCGTAGCTTCGTGTAAAATAGTGGAACATTTTTATACTACTTCGTATCTGTAAAAGATCTAATTAAATTAAAACAGATATCGCAAGAGATGTTAAGACTCAGATTAGTTTCTCCCTACTCTTTGTATCTTCATTCGATACAAGAAGAAATTTGTTGAAAAAATAACAGAAGCGGAATGTCTCACGAAAAGAGAGTGAATGAAGTGACGAGTCGAAAAAGTTGTCCTATCAATTAGGTCTTTGATTGAAAATATCCAATCAAGAACGAAAAATATTGGTTAGAAATTGAGCAAAAATTGAAAAGAAAACTTCTGCTTTCGCTAAGTTGAACTTACCTTGGTCATTTTCCTTGAGCCAATGAACCAGTTGTTTTAGTAACGAAATAGAATAGATGACTGGTTCCAAATTGTACATTCGACAAGTCTCAAAATCAATATCAATACCGTAAATATTGATTACCATAACGGGTAAAGTAACTCCTGCTTTTCTCAATTTCACACCTTCGACTGCGTAAACTACGCCCAAGTAATCGATTTTTCCAGTATTTTCAGCCCATTGACTAATCTGTTCGATACCGGCACCGTATGCGGACGCTTTAACCATCATCATGATTTTTGTTGTAGATGAGAGAACATTCTGAAATTTTTCCAGATTATGTCTCATTGCATTAAAATCGATATACATGGTTGAAGGACATGAACATTCATCGGTATCTATCAAACGGGTGCAGAGAGGACGCATTTCAACGGACGAATATTATTGAAAGACGTGATTTCTTAGAAAAACAAAAGATGGCATTCATCGAACAATTTGCACGTAGATTTTTTAAAATTTTTATTCGTTCTGTTTGTCCTTCGCACTAAGTGAATGATGATAAAAACTTTTTTCTTTTCTTTTGCTCGTTCTGTATCAAGGAATATACTCATTGATTAATACAGCTATTGTGTGAGTATTTTTATCATACTCTTTGACCCTGTCTGCTTTTACTTTACACGTTGTTCCTTTTTATTCTTATATGTAAATCATTAGTCAAAACTATTACACTGTAAGTAAATCGACAAAATATATGGAGCACGAGAATAGAAAAGCATTGGTTGCCATTCTTGCGGGTGGATATTCTCCTGAAGGAGCTGTCGCTCTGTGGAGTGGAAAACATTTAGAGAAGATTTTTGAAGGTGATAAAGATTATCATACCTACTTAATTCATGTCAATAAAGATGGATGGCATTATGAAGATGCCAAGAGTAATGGACAAAGATTTCACGTCGATCGCAATGATTTTACACTCTTATTACCTACTGAAGGAAAAATCAAATTCGATTTAGCAGTCCTTTTTGTTGGAGGATCTCCCGGTGAAGACGGTCAATTGCAAGGATATCTTCAGATAACTAAAGTACCTTTTGTTGGATGTGATCTTCTTTCCTCAGGTACGTTCTATTTGAAGAGAAAAGTACAAGTAGAGAGGATTTGTTCCTAACCTCGTATTTTCTTCAATCAATTTCTTGATAATTTTGTAACGTGTTTTCATTGCAGCTGTGACATTCAATAAAAGCATCGCTAGTCGACTCGTTCGCTCATTCAATTCGCCTGTCGTTCATGTTTCGCCCTCCATCGATGTCTTTTACTCTGTACCGATCGGCGATTCAACAGTCTTATCCACACTGAATACAGGATACCTTTCTCTTCCTGTAATTGTCAAACCAGCCAATTCCGGATCAAGTTTAGGTGTATCTAAAGTATCAGATATATCTCAGCTGACCAGTGCTCTCGCCAGAGCCTTTGAAGAGTCTAATCATATTATTGTGGAACAGTTCATCCATGGCCGAGAAATAACTGTTGGTGTTTTTCGAATCAGTAATCAGATTCAGATTTTACCGATTACGGAAATAGTCCATTCGAACAAATCCGCTTTCTATGATGCTCAAACGAAACTCGAAGGGAATGACGAAACTCAAGTGATCACTCCAGCGAATTTGAGCGAAGATACGAAGAAACGGGTGGAAGCAGGAGCTATTGAATTGTATGAAAAATTTCATTTGAACGGGTTGGTCAGAATTGATTTGATGCTTCAATATCCAGATGAAAAAGTCTTCTTTCTCGAAGTTAATTCGGCACCAGGACAAACCGAATACAGTATTATCACACAACAATTGGCAAAAGCTGGCTGGCAGGGTGCACGTCTTGTCGACTTCTACAAACAATTATTCAAAGAAGCACTCGTCATTAAATATTGACTGCTCAGTTAGAACTCAAATATTGCGTTCAGTATTCTTTTCATATCTTTAAGCTGCATGAACTATCATGATTATAGAATAAAAATAATTCGTTTGATTAAATAGCTGGAAGTTTTTCTTTATTTCAATCGGATTTATTTGTACTTCCTAGAAACATTACCAAAACACGGCTATGATGGATTAGTTTTGGTGGCAGTGAGAACTACAGCAGCAATTCTATCTGCATGTTGATAAGATTCGCTCAATAACTCTTCGCCAAACACATCGGGATCAACTTCTTCATAAGTCCAAGAGAGATCAGAATTCTCCAAGATTTTTGCGACTTCTTCGCGAAATAAATCCTGCCCATTAATTATCACTGAACCTGTGTACAGAACTAATGTGCCATCAATCGTTAACCGGTGACGGGCAGCGCGAACGATGTTTGCTGACAATTCTGATCCAAGGACTCCACCTCCATGACGATATTGCCGTTCAGAGGAGTCCACTAAATAGGGTGGATTGGAAATGATGATATCAAATTGACCTGTTACATCGTCGAGAAGATTGCTATAAGCTGATGTAACTTTCACATTGGCAAGATGAGCATTGATATCTGTGAAGTCGAGTGCAGTTTTATTGATATCCGTTGCCAGAATCTCTGCATGGGGATAGGCTTTAGATAATATAACAGCACCTGGTCCAGCTCCACAACCAATATCGATAGCACGATGCACTGGAGACGTATTTGTATCACGTTTAGCTATCATTGTTCGAATAGCACGCGCAAATCGGTATGTATCGGGTCCAAAAAAAACCGAATCCAGAGCTAATGTTGGATACGCCGAGTGTAGGAATAATTCTCCATCGAGGCTAGATATTCGCACTAAACTCTGCCAGCTGTCCTCCCTTTGATCTTCAGTTTGACGAAGTATCTGTGCGTTGCGCATTAGATCGAAAAGTTCATCGGTGACGACCGAAGAGTTGGCATGAAATGGTCGACTCCATCCAAGAACATCTGTCAATGATCGTGCCCAGCGATTGCCCGGACGACTGTTCACATGTGCGTGAGTCTGCAAATATTAGTACTTGAAAATAACGAAAAAAAGATCCACCTTTTACTCACAGCAGGAGTTACAGTGATGAAATTGTACCCAGTGTTCTTTACTGCGGTGGAAAATTGTAATAAAATTTCATTATTCATTGTGAAAAACGTTCTTATGTTGTTTTACCGTGAAATTAGTATGAATGAAATTACACTTTGTTTCGTTCTACACGGTAAAACAAATATGTCCTTTCATTTCTTTCTCTATGTATAATACAAATATTATATAAGCAGAAGATGAGTACATTTCTTATCCGAATACGTTTTCGCACCCATTGCTCTATAGATTTTTTAATGTGACTAATACATTTCGAAGTCAACATACGACGACTATCGAGCAAGGCAAGACAGTGCACATAAATATATTCTTATATAATCTAGTTAAAAACTACATTTTGTTTACTACGCTCGTTATGATCAGTATACTCATTGGCATCTGTGTGTTTGCCGTGTTCATCCACTATCACATCACTCATTGGAGTAACAAGAATAAAACTTCTAAACGTTCACTGTATCCCATCAAGGTAAACTGCTAATCAATTTGTATTAATTATCTTTGGCGATGAATAAGATGAGTCAATAATTTCTCTACAATAATCAGTGAAACATATAACCTTGACTTAATGTAAGGAAACAGAACCGCAGAAGTGCTAACGAAGGGATCAATGTGAAAACTTTTTTGAGAAGATTGTTAAATCTCCTGCTTTTACATTTTAGAAGACGAAAAAGTGCATTGATATTGAAGAAACATCAATCTGTCAACTTGATCTTGACAAACGACTCTATCATCAATTACAGAATCTTGAATACTATTCGGATGCATTGCTTCCTGCATATAATCGCCTTCTTTCACTATTCGACTCAGTGATCGATGCGGCTCGTACTTCGTCAACACGAAATATTCTCAATGCCGTTCAAACATTCTCTAAGCAAGCTCTCATAGATTTTCTCAATGCCGAATATACTGACGTTAATGAACGCTACAATGCATATCTCGCGCGACGAAAAAATGGAGGATCTCGTGAAATGTTTCCTGATTTTGACTATGCACGACATTGGCTTCGTACTTCTGCACCTGTAAAGTATGTCGATGGGGCTTGGCTTGGTGGCATACATCGCGTAACAACTGATTCAGCTCATCGTCCATATACCAAAACACTATGGCAAATTCTCAGTGAAGAACTCGGAGATGGTGATCTACAAAAAAACCATGTATGGATTTATCGCGAACTCTTGCAATCGATTGGCGTGGACGATATTGGTACTGGAGACTCAGAAGAGTTTGTTTCATCCATTCGAAACGTGAATAATGATGCTCGAGTATGGACTGCCGCTATAGCACAGTTATGTATCTCACTGTTTCCCGAAACATTTCTACCAGAAATTCTCGGCTTTAATATGTCCTATGAATGTTTGCCGCTGCATCTTCTTATTACCATTCATGAGCTTCGCGAGCTCAACATTGATCCATATTACTTTGTCCTTCATGTTTCGATCGATAATAACCATTCAGGTCACGCTGCGATGGGGATGGATGCTGTTGTCGCGTACATAACATCCTTGCCAGCTGAAGATCAAAATAAAGCCTGGAAGCGTGTCCAAACAGGATTTCTTCTTGCTTCTGAGCTTCCTACTACACCCCGACCGCGTTCACAGCTCGACACAGCTCTAGCACAAGTATTTGAAGAGAAGACACACACAGCTAAATCTCTTCATCTTTCTTGTCCGGCAAGAATTGGCGGTCGAGTAGGAAAAAAACTCAGTGAATGGCTCGATCCGATTTCCTATCCAGTACATTCTCTTGCCTTCTTACGAGCTCTTGCAGATAGTCGATGGATCGTTCGTGGTCAACCGGAAAAAAGTCGATTGGTACATGAAATCAAATGGAATGGACGTATGTTTGGTGCATTCACTATAGGGGAACTTGCCGTTCTCGAGGCGTGGATTCGAGAATTAGCGCCGCCTACACTGCTAGCAGAGAGAAGCAAATCGTATGAAACGTTCACTGGCGTTCAAACAACTCTTCCAAAGATCGAGTTAGCTTCTAAGTTCATCGACATTCTCGATCGTCCATCGGCACCTCGTCACCAAGGTACAACATTCGAAACAGTTGTCTTCGCTTCTATGTTATCATTCGAGAACAAACATGATGCTCTTATGGGTTTGTTGTCAGTCTCAGCTGTTCCGTTTGAATATCTTCCTTCATTACCAGCTAAGTGCGCTAGTTCTTATGGCATGATGGCTGTTAAGTGTCTTAGGGCTTTATACGGCTTCTTGCCTGAGTCTGATGCTTGCGCAGGTATGCATGCGGTCACGTCAAATACTCCAACATTGGGTGTAAAAGAAATAGCATCCATTTCTCTTTCCAATATGGACATGTCCGTACGTGAATTTGTCACCAAGGTTATGCATCTGTCAGCCCGTCCGGAACAGAATGAGTCACTTCTTGTTGGGCTACAAAGTGGTTTCATCGAGTATGTCTTTGAAGCTTGTAAACAGCTTGGCGCTATATCAGCAAAGGAAATGGAAAAACTGGACGAAATTCGAGTCAGATGTCGTCATGCAATCGATCATTATACAGCCGAAAGGAATGAGGATAAAAGGTGGTTGGCAGATATGATCAAAGGAGAACAAGCAGTGCGAACTATTATTTCCTATATTATAGATTAATGTGTGCGTGATTTTATATGATTATTCAACGAACTATGAAACTTTTCTTGACTATTGTTATTACGTTCAGTAGTGTTTTTACGAATCTCAGCAGACGATCTACAGAGAGAACATTTTCATGAAAAACATGTATCGCATGATGTAAATCTCCGTGTGTATAAACAAAGAATAAATCTGAATTGTACCTATTGAAAGAATACGGACTGAACAGTCTTGGACAAAAACCTCAGGAAAAGTGTTACTCTTTTGCATATTATGAGAGAGTAATCGTTCACAGTTATATACCTTCATCAAAGTGTTATTTTTCCATGTAAAAATTCAGATTCGGAGATTTCCAATGATGCTGAACGACGGGGAATTATAGCATGAAAAAGAGAATGTTCGACGAATGCTTCAATTATTTGATGTTCTCATGATTATTCACTTAAAGAACGGGAATGAAAATTGGCATTTGTGTGATACAAATCGTTGCAACACACTGGATGTGCCACCGAGTACGATTATGTTAGATAATTATGTCTGTATAATGGTACTTGAACTCAATTATACTCTAATACCTTTTAGTTTTAGTAACCTTCCAAGACCGAGTATAATGAATATAGAAAAAAGGTGACTCAATTTGCTCGTGTACACTAAAGATAAAAGTAGATAATGCACGAAATAAGTAGACAAGGACAAATAGAAGAACAAATACATGCGTTTCTCTTTCTCTCTCTCTCTGTACATATATATGTACACATATATGTGACGATTATTTCACATGTCGTCAAAATTCTTTTATTAAACATTCACTAAATATTCTACGTCGTTTGTATTCTACCAGTATGCTTAGCATATCAACATCCAAACACCATCGATATCCTCATCACCAAAAGCAGTCAAAACAGATTGTTGGTGTCTATTCGGAAGTTGGTAAGCTTGATTTAGTGCTCATGCATCGTCCTGGTCGCGAACTGGAGCGTTTAACACACAAGAACAAAGATATTTTTTTATTTGAAAAAATACCTAATATTCAAGAAACGCAGAAATCTCATGATATTTTTACTGACATTTTACGCAAGAACGGGGTGACAGTCGTGTATGTGCTTGACGTTCTACGTGAGACTTTGGAACAGAGTCCCGAAGCAAGACAAATGCTAATCGACGGTGTTGTTCAAAACCAAGATCTTACGAAAGAAGCGTCTAATGCTCTCACACAATTTCTTTCTAAACTTACACCTACTCAACTGGCACACACAGTGATTGAAGGTCTTGCGAGTACCGAAGAAGAGCTTGTTAAAGAAGACACTGCATCGATCCTTACTCGAATGTGCTCCTCGTACGAAGAATTTCTCGTTCCTCCTCTACCGAATCTTCTGTTCACCAGAGATTCGTTTTCAATTATAGATAAAGCAGTTTTTATATGGCGAATGGCCAAATCAGCTCGAGCCAATGAACCACTGATCATGCGCGTTATTTTCAGCTTTAATACTCACCATGCACAGCTTTCGTTAATAGGTGTGCGTGTTATCGAGTGGGAAACATATGCAGATCCATCGGCGACTGTTGAAGGTGGTGACGTAGCTTATCTAGGCGAAGGTACACTTATGATCGGCAGCAGTGAACGAACAAATCGTGCAGGTATCGAAGCTATTGCACGCACAGGCTAGTTTCGTCAGGTCATTGCCGTGGAATTACCAAAGAAACGAGATTATATGCACTTGGATACCGTTTTGAGTTCGGTTGGTCGTCACACATTCACTCTATATCAACATTTGGCTGATCAGTTGCCTGTATACACTGTGCAAACACCAATAGAAGGAAACGGTCGAATCGAATGGCTTTATCATGGAAATGATGTGCGACGAGCGCTAAGACATCTATTATGTGATCCTACGTTACATTTCTATGATGCTGCTGAAGAAAAAGCATCAACTGACGAACAACACGAACGCCGTGATAATGTACTGTGTATTGATAATCAAAATGTCATTACTTATGCCGGTGGTGAGCCGGTTAATGGTATTGTCGGCCGAATGTTACGTAGCAAACGCTATCCATGTCATGTACAAACATTTCCTCAAGAAGGTTTAATCGAAGGATTTGGTGGAGCTCACTGTATGACAAACGCTTTACATCGTCTTCCCAAATAGTAGTTTTCTTTTTGTATTATTTATGTGTATGGGTTCGTCAAAAATAAGTTTTAGGCAAAATTGAATTGAAAAGTTTTGAAATTAGTATAAAAATAAAGACTAGAAAATTCATAAAAGTCTTTTTAATTGAAAGATTATGCACATTCAGATTTTTAAATTAACGAGACTTTTATTTTCTTCTATGAATGAAATTTAGTATTTAATAGCGCTCATATGGCAATGCTCACCAATAATCAACGCTTCTAGTTTTGCACTCATTGGACTCACACACTAGAACAACAATACGATCTTTAAATATCTTCTCCTCTTTGCATTCTTTTTTCCACACTTAATAATTTACTAAACAGAACTTTGATAAATATAGGAGTTTCATCGCAAGTGAAAATACCTTTGTTGCCATATGTAGTGACACTTGTCAAAATACATTCAATCCCATCTCCAACACCAACGATATCTATGGGTTCCTCTAATCAAATAGTCATTGATCAACTTGAGTATCTAATCTGTTGGTCTCATTCATGTTTAAGTCGTCATTTCATACTTTGATAAACAGTCAGATATTCCTCTTTATCTTGAAAAATATTCAATATCAAATTCAGGGAAATTTTATACTCGTCGACTAATTTGCGTTGAGATAAATTACTGCCTCCATTGTGGTCGAAAATGAATCGCACTTTTCGTGTAAAGTTAGATCACGTGTTGTTGTCATTTCGTACGTGATCACATTCGAATCAGGGAACGAATGCATTTAATACCATTTAAGAGAGAAAGAAAGTAAAAAAGCAAACGAATTGTAAAAACTACGTTCACATGATAGAGATTTTAAGACAAGGGATTGGAAAGTGTTACTTTTGGGAATAACGTTGCTAATCTAAAGGGAAAGCCCACAATTCCGGCGGATAACAATTTTCTTCAGTACTGAGACGATGCATGAAAGTGGGAAAATGATCAGAGAAGCGGATCCGTTATTGTTCTTACACATGAACAGAAATCGCCTTCTTTTGAACGAAAGGAAAGCGAAGGTCAATCTGTTGTTTATCTGACTAAATAATAAAAATTGTGCAAGAATATACTTTGTTTGTTACTTATCATGTTGGAAATACTAAGATAAATCATACGATAAGGTGTTAGTAGAATTGCTGGACTTCAGTTGAGATATCATAGAGAAATTTCCTCATGATATGTTCACTGAGAATAGTCGAAAGTATTGTTAGTGGTATTTGATTACTGAATAGTGAATTTTAATATATTATCAATATGAAAGACCAAAACATCTGTTCAATCATCTAAGAATATACTTTATAGTGTGAAATTATTCAATAAGATAACTTCATTCATGATTAATTTTGTACTTCAAGAATATTTCTCTCAAAAATTCACTTTTAAATAAAAGCAAACCTTTGAGAAATTTCCAAGAAAAGAAGTGTTTATGTGTTCAATACAGTTTTTGATCGTCTTACCAACATGAAGAGAAGTAAACTGGCGACTTTTATGATGTAAGGGAGCATTGAGTGCACTTTTTGTGCTTCGTCGAAGTGCCCTTATTGCTTCATCTCGAGGTTAACACAGTGCGCTTTTATTTATAAATGCAATGGCATTCTCGAGATTTATTTTGTTAAAATAATCGTGAAAGTTAACCATGTCTTCAGAACACCGTTGCTGTGACTCGACTAGTTTTGGTCCTGGTTATAAATCTTCCTTGGATGCTATGCAAAATGGTCCACATGAAGAGTATCTCTATATTGTAATGATTTCATGTGATGAAACAAAACCGGACTACTTAGCTACAATCGATATTAATCCTCATTCTTCACGATACCAACAGGTCGTTAGCCGTGTCTATGCTCAACAACCGCAAGATGAATTTCATCATTTTGGATGGAATACTTGTTCAAGCTGTCACGGAGATCAAGAGAAAAAACGACGATTTCTTATTATTGGAACATTAAAATCATCATGTCTCTATATCATTGACACTGCTGATGTTCAAAAACAAAAAATTCATAAGATTATTCATACAGATGAATTGAAGAAATGGGACTTGAGTGCACCGCATACGATACATTGTTTAGGCATGTGCCGATTTTTTTCCTTTGATTCTTAATACCAGTCTGTCTTTATTGTATGTTTCAGGTTCTGGAGAGATCATGGTATCATGTCTTGGTAATGCGAAAGGCGAAAATCCTGGTGGTTTTGCATTAATAGATCAAAGTTTTAATGTTATCGGTCGTTGGGGTCTGCATGAGAATGGTAGTGATGATACAAAGGATACTCACCCAGTAAAGAATTTTTACGATTTCTGGTATCAACCTCGTCATAATATCATGGTGTCGAGTGAATGGGCAGCACCAAATACATTTGGTGGAGGTAAGTGAAAGCGATCGTTTACATCACGTCTTGTGGAATATTTTTCTTCTGTCGCACGAAGGATTCAACCTCATTGACGTTGCTGCTGATCGATATGGTCATTATCTTCATTTCTGGAACTGGAAGGAGCGAACACATCTGAAGTCAATTGATTTAGGAAAAATAAATGGATCAGTGCCACTTGAATTACGTTTTCTTCATGATCCCGATGTTCCATGTGGTTATGTTGCAGCTGCTCTGTCCGGATGTGTACATCGTTTCTATAAATATGAAGAAGAATGGAAGAGTGATGTAGTCATATCTATTAGTGCAATTGAAGGTATTCTAGAAGGTGCAAATCCAACACCAGCTATGATCACAGATATGTTAATTTCACTCGATGATCGTTTTCTTTATTTAACATGTTGGTATGTGGAAACTATATCTGTTTAATGATTGAATATCCTACGAAAACTCATTATCAAATAGGTTTCATGGTGATGTTCGTCAGTATTATATCGGTGATAGAACGCAGAAGCCACGACTATGTAGTCAGATATGGTTGGGTGGTCTTCTGAAAAGGAATTCAGATTTTAAATCAGACCAATATACATCTCAGTTGACTGGTGGTCCACAGATGATTCAGTTAAGTTTGGATGGTAAACGTTTGTATGTGACAAATTCTCTCTATACAGACTGGGATGACCAATTTTACCCGGATATTAAAAAACATGGATCGTATTTGGCAAAGATCAATTGTAAAACGGATACGAACGAAGGTGGAATGGAACTAGATCAGAACTTTTTCTTAAATTTTGGAAACGAACCGAATGGACCAGCACGTGCACATGAAATACGTTATCCAGGTGGTGATTGTACATCAGATATTTGGATTTGAAATCATGCATATGATCTGATGGAACGAAGAAAAACTGTGTCTTCAGCACCACAGAATGAAAGTTGATTGATTCCCGAAAATGATTTCTGTCTTCGTCTCCCTGTAACTCTTTCCTTGTTTAATAAAGTTATTCAAGACTTTTTAACTCTATATATTAACTTTCAATTGCACGTACAATAATCAATAACGTTTTTTTAAATAGTTTTTATGTTCTTTCTTGGAGGTATAGATTGAATGATCAAACAGCTAAACTGGAAGTAGATTTCATATTTGATTCGCTTACGAAGTTTTCTGAATCTAAACAATGGTCTAACTCAAAATCGTTATTCCTGTTGTCTTCTTCTGCCATTTTTTGAAAACTAACAGAAATTCTTCATTAACAAAAAAAAACAACTAATACAGAGAATTCAAGATATTAATCAAGGATCAGATCTTGATTGAAGTAGGTCAAATTCGCTTTCATTTGCCCATTTCTCGTTTGTGAAGTCCATTCCACATTTTCTTCATATGAGAATCATATTTACTATTCGATTCCATCACTAAGAAATAAATTTTCTACGTTGTTGCAAAAACAAACAAAAAGCGCCATTGCCCACAAACCGTATTTGTACATAATCATTCTCTTGCCGTTGACAATTGTATTCAAAACACAAACGTAGAAAAACATTGACTGTATCAAAATCTAAATACAATCGCTTGCAATATGCTCCTACTTTCACGCAAACGATTCTTATTGTAAACAAAAAAAAACGGAATCAGGAACTTCCGCTAATCGTCTTGTTCCCCTCAGCAACAGATTTTATCCATCTTGAGGGTGAGTGAAAATTTTTTATGACTGGAATTGACAGAGCTCATCGAGTTCCGCCTGGAACACACTCGTGTGCGAATCCGTTCAAGAGAAGGTTGAATCCATGTCCAAGATATCCTACCTTCCGAATAGAGACATAAAACAGAAAAGATGCTGAATCAGACGAGCGTTGAAATATGGCTCGTTAGTGATCAACACCGTTTTTATTGGTGAAAGAAGAACATAGAGTTCTGGGCTATAATTACTCGACCATGAATACGAAGATAATGCGGAAGAATTCAAAAATTCATTAGATGAACTAGTAGTTTTAAAACGTGATCTTCTGAGCATGCAACAAAATAGCAACTCATTTGTATATGTTCTCCATTATGTGCCGCTCTGTTTCTCATATCTTTTTAACCAATATTCATGATAAAAGTAAATACAGTTTTAAGTAGTGATATTATTCTACGCAATGAAACGTCTCTGAATGCTTCTTATTATTAGTTATTCACTCGAATGTTATCTCTGATTCGTTAATTTGTACCACAGTATTGCGATTCTATAATACCACATTAATAGTTTGGGATCGTTTGCAGGCAATAGGTTTTTTCGAATTTCTAATACCTTGCTGCAATATGAAAGTGCTGCTCGATAATCACCTATTCTTGTCAGTGTACCTCCGATGTTGCTGTATAAGATACCATAATCAGGATGATCTTTACGAACGGCTTTCTCCAGGAATTTCTCTGCTTCTTTAAACAAGAAAAGCGCTTCATAATGCTTATTCATGTCGGTATGCACTAGAGCAATGTTATTATAACAGATATATAAATCATGTGGGTTTTGAAGGTCAGCATTTTGTCGAATTTTGAGCGTTTTTTTATAGAAGGAAAGTGCTTTAGGATAATCTTTCTCATGTTGGTGGTAATAGTCTCCCATATTGTTATAGGATTGAGCTAAATCGGAATAGTTTGGCGGATTGATTTTTTCCCGGATTGTCAAAGCTTTTTGATAGAACGGAAGTGCTTCTGAATAATTTTTTGAACTAACATACACTAAACCAATGTTATTGTAGCTAGTAGCTAAATCAGGATGATTTGGTGGAAGCATCTTCTCCTGAATTTCAAGCGATCTTTTTATATAATCGAGCGCTTCAGCATGTTTATCCATATTGTTGTATACTAAGCTGACGCTGCTGTAAGTAGTCGCCAAGTCGGGATGGTTTGAAGGAAGAATATGTTCGCTGATATCTAGCTGTTTTTCATAGAACAATAAAGCCTTGTCATAGTGGCCCATACAATCGTAAGTGAAAGCCATATTATTATAAGTCATTGCTAATAATTCATTTTTATCATCCAGTTTCTTTTCATATATTTCCCGGGCTTTGCTATATAGAGTCAATGCTTTGGAATGCTCACTTATTCTTCCACACGCCGAGGCCAGATTATTATAAAAAATCGCCAAAACGTGATCATATGGATGGAGATTTTTCTCCCCAATTTCAACTGCTTTTTTGTAAAACTTGACTGCTTCACCCGTTTTTCCTTGTTCAACTTTACAGTATCCAATTTGGCTGTAAAAAACGGCTTTTTCGGTTTCATTAGATTCTTCATTGAGTAATAACTGGTATAATAGTTCGGCCTTATGGGCTTCACCAAGTTTAAGTAGCACTTTGCCCAGTCGAGACCATCCTTTCGATCCTCTTTGAGTCTCTTCCTCCAATCGATCAGTAAGAGCGCTAAGCTGCGGATCTCTGTCATGAGTCGCAGTGAGATTGACGCGCCAAAGCCGGTTATTATCTCCAATTTGTTCAATTTCACCAATACGAAAAACAGTATGCATCGAAAAGAGAACTTCTTTTTCGTTCGAATGATGACTGAGGCCACCTCGTAGAAAAGCATAAGGAGCCGATGATTCCGTCACATTAATTTTATAGAGTATGCCGAATAAACTAACATCGGCTGAGTTGCTCTCAGCGAACATAGACGCGACTTTCTCATCTTTGCTCGTGGACAAGAAATTATTGAATGAGAGCAGTCCGCCTTTCGCTTTTCTCAGTTTTTCGAAATCTACCACTAACAAGCCTTGTCCGCGGTACACTGTAAATGATTTTTCATGCTTACTGGACTGTTCCGAATGAATCTGCTGAATATTTCGATGGAGATGACACATGAAGAAAGCAATTTTCAATATAATATCTACATCCAGAGTACGTAAAGCTTGATTCACGCATCCAAAAAGAAATGCTGTTTTAGAATACCACCAAGTCGGATTGCGAAGAGAATACTCTTTTTCAAATTTATCAATTTCACGTGTGTTATACGGACATTGATTTCTCCAATAGNATAGTCATTGTCGGTCTATGTAATAGAATTCACAGTTAATGATGTATGTCAAGTAGGTAAAACAGTAACGCCAGACTTCCTGCCTTACCATATAGCTTGTGAAGATGTTCAGAAATGTTGACAAGAACCAGATGAATGTGTCATACTGAAGTACCATAGTGACGGGGTCGTTGTGACTGCAGCAATGCTCAGTCCTATTGAAATTTAATAAAGAATTCTACTGTAGTCATAAAAGAATTAGATAATAGTTCTCGGCGAGAAAACCTTTTTGTATACTTTGAAGAATATGCTAGAGTAGTATGTTGTAATTCTCTAAAATTTGATAATAGTAACCACAAGCACTACAAGAAAGATACTGTTTAAAGTACTTTTGTAACTGAAATTGTAGTACTTTTTAGTACTTACAAAATTATAATATAAGAACTTTTGACACTTTTAATAGTAATAAATAGTACTTTTCACTTATTATTATACTAATAGTCACTTAAAAAGGTTCACTTATAAGTACTTATTTGACTTGTTAGAAAAATATTCAAAGTACTTTTTAGTAAAATATTGGGGCTGAAATTTTTACATGGGTAATATCGGCTGAGTTGCTCTCAGCAAACATAGACGCGACTTTCTCATCTTTGCTCGTGGACAAGAAATTATTGAATGAGAGTAGTCCGCCTTTCGCTTTTCTCAGTTTTTCAAAATCTACCTCTGACAAGCCTTGCCCACGGTACACTGTAAATGATTTTTCATGCTTACTGGACTGTTCCGAATGAATCTGCGGAATATTTCGATGGAGACGACACATGAAGAAAGCAATTTTCAATATAATATCTACATCCAGAGTACGTAAAGCTTGATTCACGCATCCGAAAAGAAATACTGTGTTAGAATATCACCAAGTTGGACTGTGAAGAGGATATTCTTTTTCAAATTTATCAATTTCAGGTGTGTTATACGGACATTGATGTCTCCAATAGTCAGCAAACGTGTGGACGCATTCGCTCTTGTCATGGTCAATATCTAATAAACTTTCTTTTAGTAACTGAGTGTACATGAAGGTGTGATCAAGTTCGTCCAAATTCGTCTTCGATCCAATATCAGCCGATGCCAAACTAATAGGAACAACATTTTGGCTATGCTGTTGCACGATTGATACTAATAAGTTGCAAATTGAAGTTAGTTGACTGTGTGTACCTCTCACTTTTGGCCAGTCTTTTATCCATTCTTGATGCAAAGTTTCATTGTTGTCAAAAATAACTATCGAATCGAGTTGATGCATATTATGAATGCGATGCACGATCGTTTTTCCGAGCGTAGCGGATAGAATAACGAAGATTCGTTCGTTTTTGTTGACAGTAAGAAAGTTAATGCATTCGTCATCAGTAGTGAATGTGGCTAAAGTGCTATTAGTCCATCGTAGCTGTGTCGTAAAATTTAAATAATCTTCGCTCGATTGATCGATGTGAGAATTCAACTCGACGAGAGAAAAGCTTCGTAACGAACATTGTTCGCCATTGGTATCTGCTGTGGAGTAGATGAACGACCTTCGATCAGTGCTTTTCTGATGAACACAGTCGCTTCTTCCCAATTTATCCACATTTACATTGCACGTTCCATTGGAATACATGGCAAAGAGAAATGCCTTATATGAAACGATGCCGTTTCTCTATGACGAAGGGAGTATAGCTTTTTTTCATCGCCATATTTGTATTTCTACAGATGTTTGCAGACTCGATCGATCGAGTTTTCTTTTCTAAGTATGCGAAAGAAATGGCGATGGAAAATTGAACGATAGATGTCATTGGTTATTTTGCCATTTGACATTTCTATGTGGTCGAAGAACAATTTCAATCGCGAGAATTGTACATCAAGACAAAAATCTTTACATTTACAAGTTACACTGTCGACAGATTTGCACTAGTCTGCTCTTGATTACAATAACGAAGATGAACTCAATCGTCATCTTTTAAAATTGAACGAATGTCATTTAATATTCGAATTCATCTGTGCAATAGAATTATCCATTGTCCGAACAGAGTGAAAAATCCTCACTGTGCACCAGGTACTTATTTTTGAAATTGCAGGCTAACGGACAGATCGTGTGCCGAAAAGCCTATTCGATAGATCAATATACATGAAATTGTAATGAATATATTTTATCTCGACTGTTGTTCTACTCATCGACTTATAGTTCGTCAGAACTGGTCAAATGAATTGATTAATTTACCAAACGATGCGAAAAGATCTTTGTTTAGTATTTCGGAGAGTTGATGATGATGTAATACTGCCTTTATATTTGCCTCTATTTTATGGTTCTTCGGCGACCAAAGTCGTGTCGAGTACCACTCCCGCATTGAATATCCCTCATACATCTTTCCAGAACTTCAAGCTTTTCAAGGAAAACTTCTTTTTTTTATTTATGTCGTGAATTAAAAGTCAAACACATGATATTTCTTCTTATTTATCTGAAAAGAGGAATTTCAGAGGAACCGAAATGATTTTTGGGAGTTTTTCTCGGTTTTCCAAGAAAGAAATATATTTCACCTTTCTTTCTAAATAAAACGAGCAATGACATATTTAAGGGCATTTTTCATGAAAGAAAACCTTCCTTCAAAAATGTACTTGCGCTAAGAAAGTTGTTCGAAATGTCGTCCAAGGACAAACTTCATTTCTTGATCTTTTTATCGATTCTGCAAGAAATTTCGGGTAAGTTTCTTTTTTAGAATTACAATGAAAGATTAATTTAGTAGATGATCTCTTTGTACGTAAATAAAGGTTATTCATACAATCGACCAGTTCTTTCTTTTGATTCAACGTGGCATCCAAATGGAACAACAGTTCTCAATGAAACTCTTATTGGATTCAATCCTTCAGATATGTTTATCAATCAAAATAATACAATCTTTGTTCCAAATCAACAAAGTGGAGATATTCTTGTTTTTCTGCGAGGAAACTTCAGTTTAATGCAAAATATCTCTGTTAATTTGATCAATTCATCGAGTTTATTCGTGACAAAAGAAGAAAAGATTTATATTGATACATTTTATTCATCAAGTCGAAGTGTTGTAAGTGAAATCGAATCAAATTCCAGTGATTTGCGGTCAATTCCGCGAATGAATATATGTCAACAATGTTTTGACATTTTCATCAGTGAAAATCAAACTCTTTATTGTTCGTTATCGGACCAGCATCAAGTCATTGCAAAATCCTTACTTAGTCAATGGGATTATCTGTTAACTATTGCAGGAACAGGAACTGCGGGATCCGTATCCACAACGCTTCGAAATCCCAAAGGAATCTTTCTTGACGAGGCCAATTCAACTTTATTTGTTGCGGATTGTGGAAACAATCGAGTCTTATCGTTTCGATTGGGTACACTTCTTGGAAAACCAGTTCTTACAAATCAAACATATAATTTGAATTGTCCAACTGGACTTGCATTAGATAGTCGAGGTTATTTATTCGTAGTTGATTCGAATAATCATCGGATTATTGGGCAAAGTTCAGCTGGTTTTCGTTGTATAGTTGGTTGTGACCTATCGAATTCCAATCAATTAAATTATCCATCGAGTCTTAGTTTTGATTCGTTTGGAAATCTTTTCGTTGTGGATCGAGACAGTCATCGAATTCAAAAATTTGATTTGATCATCTATTCAGGACGTAAGTTGTGTAAGAGATTCACTTTGATGACAAGTCTTTAAAAAGATCCCTCTTCCATTAATTACAAATTTTGCCATATGAAAGTGTTTTTTTTTGTTTTACTTGTCTGTTTTTGTTAGAATGGAAAACGACAGGAAATATGACTTATAAACGCATGTATCACGCGGCATCGATCTTATCGGATGGAAACGTGCTAGTCGCTGGTGGATGGGGTAGCAGTGGTTATTTGCAGAGCGCTGAAGTGTATGATTCATCAACGGGCATGTGGACAACAGTTGGAAATATGAATGTTGCACGATCTCAACATACGGCATCTGTCTTATTAAATGGCAAAGTATTAGCTGCGGGTGGATCCAATGGCAGTGTTGAATTAAAGAGTGCTGAATTATATAATCCGGCAACAAGTACTTGGTCTATGATTGGAAATATGAATACTGCGCGGGCTCAACATGCAGCGTCGATCTTATCAAGTGGAAAAGTATTAGTCACTGGTGGTTTGAAAGGTAATAGTTATCTCGACGATGCTGAAGTGTACGATTCATCGACTGGTGCTTGGACAGTAACTGGAAATATGAATATTTCACGATCTCAACATACAGCATCTGTCTTATTAAATGGCAAAGTATTAGTTGCGGGTGGATCCAATGGCAGCAGTCAATTCAAAAGTGCTGAATTATATAATCCGGCAACAAGTACTTGGTCCATCGTTGGAAATATGAATACTGCACGGGCTCAACATACAGCGTCGATCCTAACAGACGGAACGATACTAATTGCAGGTGGATGCTGTCCTATTCTCAAGAGTGCTGAATTGTATAATATATCAACAAATACTTGGACAATAACCGNGAGCGTAGCGGATAGAATAACGAAGATTCGTTCGTTTTTGTTGACAGTAAGAAAGTTAATGCATTCGTCACCAGTAGTGAATGTGGCTAAAGTGCTATTAGTCCATCGTAGCTGTGTCGTAAAATTTAAATAATCTTCGCTCGATTGATCGATGTGAGAATTCAACTCGACGAGAGAAAAGCTTCGTAACGAACATTGTTCGCCATTGGTATCTGCTGTGGGGTGGATGAACGACCTTCGAGTGCTTTCCCGATGAACACAGTCGCTTCTTCCCAATTTATCCACATTTACATTCCACGTTCCATTGGAATACATGGCAAAGAGAAATGCCTTATGTGAAACGATGCCGTTTCTCTATGACGAAGTGAGTATAGCTTTTTTTCATCGCCATATTTGTATTTCTACAGATGTTTGCAGACTCGATCGATCGAGTTTTCTTTTCCAAGTATGCGAAAGAAATGACGATGGGAAATTGAAGGATAGATGTCATTGGTTATTTTGCCATTTGACATTTCTATGTGGTCGAAGAACAATTTCAATCACGAGAATTGTACATCAAGACAAAAATCTTTACATTTACAAGTTACACTGGCGACAGATTTGCACCAGTCTGATTGATTGCAATAACGAAGATGAACTCAATCGTCATCTTTTTAAATCGAACCAATGTCATTTGATATTAGAATTCATCTGTGCAGTGGAATTATCTACATCAGATACTTATTTGTAAAATCATCAGACTAAAGGATCGATCGTGTGTCGAAAAGGCTGTTCGATAGATCAGTATATATGGAATTGTAATGAATATATTTCATCTCGATTGTTTTTTTACTCATCGATTTAGTTCGTCAGAACTGGTCGAATGAATTGACCAATTTACCAGACGATGCGAAAAGATCTTCGTTTAGTATTTCGGAGAGCTGATGATGATGTAGTACCACCTTTAAATTTGCCTCGATTGGTTCTTCGGCGACCGAAGTCTTGTAGAGTACCACTCCCACATTGAATAGTCCTCATACATCTTCCCAGAACTTCAGGCTTTTCAAGGAAAAGTTCTTTTTTTTATTTATGTCGTGAATTAAAAGTCAAACATATGATTTTTCTTCTAATTTATCTGAAAAGAGGAAAACGAGAGGAATTTCAGAGAAACCGAAATGATTTTTGGGAATTTTTCTCGGTTTTCCAAGAAAGAATTATATTTCACTTTTCTTTCTAAATAAAACGAGCAATGAAATATTTAAGGGCATTTTTCACGAAAGAAAACCTTCACTCAAAAGCGTACTTGAGCTGAGAAAGTTGTTCGCAATGTCGTTCAATGGCAAACTTCATTTCTTGATCTTTTTATCGATTCTGCAAGGAATTTCAGGTAAGATTCTTTTTTAGAATTACAATGAAAGATTAATTTAGTAGATGATCTCTTTGTACGTAAATAAAGGTTATTCATACAATCGACCAGTTCTTTCTTTTGATTCAACGTGGCATCCAAATGGAACAACAGTTCTCAATGAAACTCTTATTGGATTCAATCCTTCAGATATGTTTATCAATCAAAATAATACAATTTATGTTCCAAATCAAGAAAGTGGAGATATTCTTGTTTTTCTGCAAGGAAACTTCAGTTTAATGCAAAATATCTCTGTTAATTTGATCAATTCATCGAGTTTATTTGTGACAAAAGAAGAAAAGATTTATATTGATACATTTTATTCATCAAGTCAGTGTTGTAAGTGAAATCGAATCAAATTCCAATGATTTGCGCTCCATTCCGCGAATGAATATATGTCAACAATGTTTTGACATTTTCATTAGTGAAAATCAAACTCTTTATTGTTCGTTATCGGACCAGCATCAAGTCATTGCAAAATCCTTACTTAGTCAATGGGATTATCTATTAACTATTGCAGGAACAGGAACTGCGGGATCTGTATCCACAACGCTTCGAAATCCCAAAGGAATCTTTCTTGATGAGGCCAATTCAACGTTATTTGTTGCGGATTGTGGAAACAATCGAGTCTTATCATTTCGATTGGGTATATTTCTTGGAAAACAGGTCTTACAAATCAAACATATGATCTGAATTGTCCAACTGGAATTGCATTAGATAGTCGAGGTTATTTATTCGTAGTTGATTCGAATAATCATCGGATTATTGGACAAAGTTCAGTTGGTTTTCGTTGTATAGTTGGTTGTGATCAATCGAATTCCAATAAATTAAATTATCCATCGAGTCTTAGTTTTGATTCGTTTGGAAATCTTTTCGTTGTGGATCGAGAAAATCATCGAATTCAAAAATTTGATTTGATTATCTATTCAGGACGTAAGTCGCGTAAGGGGTTCTCTTTGACGACAAGTCTTTAAAAAGATTTTTCTTCCATTAATTACAAATTTTGCCGTATGAAAGTGTTTATTTTTTGTTTTACTTGTCTGTTTTTCTTAGAATGGAAAACGACAGGAAATATGACTTATAAACGCATGTATCACGCGGCATCGATCTTATCGAATGGAAACGTACTAGTCGATGGTGGATGGGGTAGCAGTGGTTATTTGCAGAGTGCTGAAGTGTATGATTCATCAACGGGCATTTGGACAACAGTTGGAAATATGAATGTTGCACGATCTCAACATACAGCATCTGTCTTATTAAATGGCAAAGTATTAGCTGCGGGTGGATCCAATGGCAGCGTTGAATTAAAGAGTGCCGAATTATATAATCCGGCAACAAGTACTTGGTCCATGATTGGAAATATGAATACTGCGCGGGCTCAACATACAGCGTCGATCCTAACAGACGGAACGATACTAATTGCAGGTGGATGCTGTCCTATTCTCAAGAGTGCTGAATTGTATAATATATCAACAAATACTTGGACAATAACCGNAGCTGCGGGTGGATCCAATGGCAGCGTTGAATTAAAGAGTGCCGAATTATATAATCCGGCAACAAGTACTTGGTCCATGATTGGAAATATGAATACTGCGCGGGCTCAACATACAGCGTCGATCCTAACAGACGGAACGATACTAATTGCAGGTGGATGCTGTCCTATTCTCAAGAGTGCTGAATTGTATAATATATCAACAAATACTTGGACAATAACCGGAAGTATGAATGTTGAACGAAGATTTCATACAGCATCGGTCTTATCAAACGGGAAAGTGTTAGTAGCTGGCGGACAAGGAAGCGGTTCTGTAAACAGTACGGAATTGTATGATCCATCAACGGGTATGTGGACGATTACTGGGAATATGAGTTTTGCACGAAATTATCATACAGCATCGATCTTATCAGATAACACAGTATTAGTGACTGGTGGAATTGATAGTAATCCTCTGAATAGTGCCGAATTGTATGGTTAAAAAAATTGAAAATTTATTGCCAATCAACACTGACATGAACGAAGGGAAAAAAATTTCTAGTCTAAATATACCAAAAAATCGTTTTTGTGAAGTAGTGATGATCTTATTGACGCTAGATGAAAATACATTCGAGACACAGATATATTTAATACAGTTGAAAAAGTCGAAAAACAAAATGCAAGGTAAAACATCAACAAGTCTGTACAAAAACATCCAAACTGTCAGTGCCTTCATTAGCAACTATAAAATCCACTTTTCTGTCATCGTCATCAAAGTCAACAACGGAAACTAAAAACGGATGAGATCTATAGTTAGTTGCAATGACAAGAAGTTCTTTGTATGTTCCATCGCCATTGCTTAGAAAACATCTGGATTGTTACCACCAAAGCTACCAGTCATAACGTCGAGAAAACATAAGATCAGTTAATGGGGAATTATATTTTGTGACAAATTCAGATAGTTAACTTTATTTTTACATTGCAAACAACAAAACTATATATTATCCTAAATTTCACCCTCCCACAATCCTAATTTATTAGGCAGTTCAAGCTAAATCAGTAGATGCCATGATACATACGACCCGATGGTTAAGACGCAGAATAATATTCAAGGTCGTTATAGTATATACGTCTTCGAGTGTAGTCATAATGGCGGTATAATGATATTAGCGGTATTAACGGAATAAAGTTTAGATAATAAGTGTCTATATAGTTGTGGTCAGTACTGAATAGTTACATAATGCATCCTCAGTCGACGACGGCCCGTGACGTGTTACACATATCTCGGTAGCAGTATGTTAGGTAGAAGATAGTGGCTGAAAAGTTACTTCTCTTTTTCCCAAACTCTGCAACATTCTTCTTCGAATCATATTTCACAACAAGGAACAAGCAGTCAGCTTCATAGTAAATATGTTCATGATAGCATATAGTTCTTATTGCAAAAAGAGTATGAAAACTTTGAGTCGTAACTGACAATAGCTTGTATTCGATGTGCTTTGGTTTGTGTTCACAATAGAGTGCGACACTAAGTTTGTTTAGGACTGAGTGCTCGATACTATACTGTTTGTACCAAACGACCTTTGACTTTTGGATCTTCTGGTCAAAATTTTTATCTTTAAACACTCCAATACCCACCTTCGGATCGTTTTTCACAATAAAAATGAGATAACAACTAGTTTCATTCATCGTATAAATTACGATAGTGTCGTTCAATTTCTAGGCCAAAAATCGAATTTTATGATCATATTGATATTTCGAAGTAAATAATGATCAGCAAATACTCAAATATAATTGAGAGATAAAGGAATGAGGTATTTATTTTTTGGTGTTTTGAGGGGCAATATCACTGGTAAAGTTTTAAAGATTTTTTATAATAATTCTTCTCACTCATTGATCGTTCAAAGAGATTCAAATTGTCATTTTTCATCGCAGTTTTGATAATGGTATTTTTTTTTCTAACTAGCATTTGAAAATGGAGAAAGAAAATAAGTTTTCCTTAAAATGATAGAAATTCGATGAACAAACTATTGATTCAATTTGTCTTTCCAATAGTCAATTTGAACATGAAATGCTGCATACGGTAATAATTTGTCTTTTTCAATTTCACTAAGATATTTAAAACCATAACAATAACCACGACATGAAGGCATTCGACAAGAACAATTTTCAATAAATCCTAATCAACAAAAGTAAAAGAAAAGAAAAGAAAAGAAAAGAAAGAGAGATAACTACCATTCATTGAATATCCAAATAAATTGTAATCAACTGTTATTTGATCATTTGGATAAATATCACACAAAGCAATAGCAGCTAATGGTTCATCTTTTTTTAAATCAGCATAAGCGGAATTTAAATAACAATTTGGATCACAACTATGATTGATTAGAGCTCCATATGTGATTAATTCTCGGACACCTTTGCCACAATCACTTGTATGTCGACGAGTATTCATTGGAATTACTGGACCTATTTTAAATCTAATCAAATCTATTTCAATATATTCAAATCAATCTTTACCATTTGGATCAATTATTAAATTATAATCCATATTTTCATCATAAATATAACCATAAGATTTTGGAAGAAATAGAATTGAATTTTTTGAAAAAAATTTCGTTGCATAAAGGCCCCAATTGCTTTGTTGATCCTTAATTGGATGATTTTCAACTTGAATTCCATCTGGTAAAATACAATGAATATTTAATGGACAATGTTGAAGACCGGGATATTTTTCTTTCATTTGTTCATCATTTAAATCTTCATTTGTTTGCTTCTCATTTGTTAATAAAGCACATTCTTTTGCAGATAACTTATATATTGGAGGTAAAGATGAAAATATATGTCTTTCATTCAAATGTAATGGCGGTTCAAACATTTTGGAAAAAAAATCTTTTCTGAAAAATACAAATATTTCATTGTTTATATCAATAATTCGATTATCTGATCAAATCAATTTAGAATATTTATTCGAATTTGGTTCATACTACTTAAGATTGCCTGTAAAGTATTTTGTGATGATTTGGATATAAGAATTCCAGATCGCCATACTAATTCATAAACTAGGTTTAATATTCGATTATACCAAAGTAAAAGTTGGAAAACAATCAATTAAAATATCTTTATCATGTTATTGTGGAGATTGATCATAAATCATTTTCATAATTAGACCTTAAAGAAAAGAAAGAAATCAATAGAAAAGTGATAGAACAATATCAATACTCTACAGTATTGATATCAGATATTGAGTATTTATATGAAAGTATGAATAAAGATCTTCTCATCAACATATACATCTTATTATTAATATGATTATATTCTTTTCTCAATGTCGAACAATTCCGAAGAGCAAATCATTTGGATATATATATAGTTTAAGATGGAAATTGAAGGAAAGAAAAGAAAAAGAATTTTCTCCAAATCATTTACGTGTTTTATTTCAACTAACTTCTCATTAACCGTGATCTTCAAAATATGTTTTGTACCTTTACACGAGCTTCATAAATAAGAAATATTCGTCCTTCTTTTTCTCTTATTTGCACTGACAAAAACCAACACCGGCTTGGTGTTCGATTCTTATTTTTGTTCTAATAACACGTGTCTTTTTTCATTCGTTGTGTACATGTGTACATCTATCCTTGATGTCAATATTTGTTTTTTCTATTTCATCATCATCCCCAAAAAGGAAAATTACTAAAAATATTTTCATCAACAAAAGATTGCTTTTTTGTAACAATGACCGAAAGTTAACATTGTAGTGAAAATCCTCTAAGAGATACATATGTCATTTGAGATACGAAAAGTTCTTAGGCATTTTCTATAAAAGAAAGGCGAGTGTAAGTATTTGACTACAGAGCGAAACATATATAGTAGGTGTGCAGAGAAAGACGAGCTCTTTCTAGTACTGCATGTCATTTACAATTCTTTTGTGCACCGTAGAGAAAAAAACAAAAAAGGAAGTATGCATGATTATTTTGAAAAAAAAATCTTATATCAAAATTATGATAGTAAAATCAAGTAAAAAACAACCCAAGTTCTGTGTACATCATTCAAACATTTACATCACTCAGGACCACAGCTAATGCCACTATTAACATCCAAATTATATTGCAATTTATAATCACACTGTAAGAATTTATTGAAAAAATGCCTTGTATTTGTTTACATTTCAGAGATGAGATAAGATATGTAAATGATTAATTGATCTCACAGAAGTCTCTCACATTGATTGAATAATTTTGATTTGAAGATAAGGATCTCGATTAATTTTACATGTGATGATATAATTAATTTATACATTTCGAATAATAATTTAACATGATAGAGACTGTATTTTCTTATAAATTATTAGAATATCGTCATTTGCTAAAATTCTAATGGATGTATAATTATACTGAGTTTTCATATTCTTCTTAATTAATAAGTTGTTTTATCAGTACATCCCAGGTCAAACAATCCGACACGGAAATGGTCGGTTCCGGGGTATTCCGGAGATTTCATAGAAGCAGTATCCCAGACGAGTGGATCCGGTGGCCGGATTTATCTGGTTTGGGCCGGAACCGACAGGAACATGTCAAAACCGGTAGCCGGAAACGGTTACCGCTTTTCTCCATCGGATTTCTGACATTTTCCGGGCAGGTTCCGCTCAGAAATGTCGTGTTTCTTCAGGGATTTTGTCGGAAATTCAAGGAATCCTGCTTCAGGAACCATCGTCCTGGGTATATTATCAATAAATTAGAGAAAACAAAAACACAGTTTGAAATGTATTTCCGACACATTTGTAATTACAGTTAACGATGTGCCGCATTTGAACCTATCTTTCCGGTTAATTTATAATAGGGTGAATCCATGGGGACCCATCCACTTTTTTGGAAAGGTTTTTTTTTTCAATTTTTTTTCGTCTTAAACATCCGATCTTTGTTAGAAAACACTTTTGGTGAAAAAAAAATTGGGTCCTATCTGCGAAAGACCTCGAGTTTTTTAGCGTTTTTTAGGTACACGTACAGCATTTTTTATATATAGGAAAAATGATAGAAAAACGTCTGGAACTCTTTTAAAAGCTCTTTTTTCGAAATTTTTTAGTACTCATAAATATTAAACAAGTCTAGAAACATCTTTTTTGGTAATAATTACACTAGCCTTCTTGAAAATCATATGTGATAAACTACTTTTTCTTTGTATAATAACAGTCCTATTTCGTGAATGCGAGTTAGATGCAATTAATTCGAAGAAATCNGGCTCAACATACAGCGTCGATCCTAACAGACGGAACGATACTAATTGCAGGTGGATGCTGTCCTATTCTCAAGAGTGCTGAATTGTATAATATATCAACAAATACTTGGACAATAACCGGAAGTATGAATGTTGAACGAAGATTTCATACAGCATCGGTCTTATCAAACGGGAAAGTGTTAGTAGCTGGCGGACAAGGAAGCGGTTCTCTAAACAGTGCGGAATTGTATGATCCATCAACGGGTATGTGGACAATTACTGGGAATATGAGTTTTGCACGAAATTATCATACAGCATCGATCTTATCAGATAACACTGTATTAGTGACTGGTGGAATTGATAGTAATACTCTGAATAGTGCCGAATTGTATGGTTAAAAAAATTTTAAAGTTATTGCCAATCAACACTGACATAAACGAAGAGAAAAAATAATTTCTAGTCTAAATATACCAAAAAATCGTTTTTGTGAAGTAGTGATGATCTTATTGACGCTAGATGAAAATACATTCGAGACACAGATATATTTAATACAGTTGAAAAGATCGAAAAGCAAAATGCAAGGTAAAACATCAACAAGTCTGTTCAAAAACACCCAAACTGTCAGTGCCTTCGTTAGCCGCTACAAAATCCACTTTTCTGTCATCGTCAAAGTCACCAATGGAAACTAGAAACGGATGAGATCTATAGATAGTTGCAACGACAAGAAGTTCTTTGTATGTTCCATCGCCATTGCTTAGAAAAACACCTGAATTGTTACCATCAAAGCTATCAGTCATAACGTCGAGAAAACATAAGATCAGTTAATGGGGAATTAGATTTTGTGACAAATTCAGATAATTAACTTTATTTTTACATTGAAAACAACAAAACTATATATTATCCTAAATTGCACCCTTCCACAATCCTAATTTATTAGGCAGTTCAAGCTAAATCAGTAGATGTCATGATACATACGACCCGATGGTTAAGACGCAGAATAGTATATACGTCTTCGAGTGTAGTCATAATGGCGGTATAATGATATTAGCGGTATTAACGAAATAAAGTTTAGATCATAAGTGTCTATATAGTTGTGGTCAGTACTGAATAGTTACGTAATGCATCCTCAGTCGACGACGGTCCGTGACGTGTTACACATATCTCGGTAGCAGTGTGTGAGGTAGAAGATAGTGGCTGAAAAGTGACTTCTCTTTTTCCCGAACTCTGCAACATTCTTCTTCCAATCATATTTCACAACAACGAACAAGCAGTCAGCTTCATAGTAAATATGGTCATGATAGCATATAGTTCTTATTGCAAAAAGAGTATCAAAACTTTGAGTCGTAACTGGCAATAGCTTGTACTCGATGTGCTTTGGTTTGTGTTCACAATAGAGTGCCACACTAAGTTTGTTTAGTACTGAATGCTCGATACTATACTGTTTGTACCAAACGACCTTTGACCTTTGGATCTTCTGGTCAAAATTTTTATCTTTAAACACTCCAATACCCACCTTCGGATCGTTTTTCACAATAAAAATGAGATAACAACCAGTTTCATTCATCGTATAAATTACGATAGTGTCGTTCAATTTCTAGGCCAAATTCGAATTTTATGATCAGCAAATACTCAAATATAATTGAGAGAAAAAGGAATGAGGTATTTAATTTTTGCTGTTTTGATGAGCAATATCACTGGTAAAGTTTTAAAGATTTTTCATAATAATTCTTCTCACTCATTAATCGTTCAAAGAGATTCAAATTGTCATTCTTCATCACAGTTTTGATAATGATATATTTTTTTTCTAACTAGCATTTGAAAATGGAGAAAGAAAAAAAGTTCTCTTTAAAATGATAGAAATTCGATGAACAAACTATTGATTCAATTTATCTTTCCAATAGTCAATTTGGACATGAAATGCTGCATACGGTAATAATTTGTCTTTTTCAATTTCACTAAGATATTTAAAACCATAACAATAACCACGACATGAAGGCATTCGACAAGAACAATTTTCAATAAATCCTAATCAACAAAAGTAGAAGAAAAGAAAAGTAAAGTAAGAGAGATAACTACCATTCATCGAATATCCAAATAAATTGTAATCAACTGTTATTTGATCATTTGGATAAATATCACATAAAGCAATAGCAGCTAATGGTTCATCTTTTTTTAAATGAGCATAAGCTGAATTTAAATAACAATTTGGATCACAACTATGATTGATTAGAGCTCCATATGTGATTAATTCTCTGACACCTTTGCCACAATCACTTGTATGTCGACGAGTATTCATTGGAATTACCGGACCTATTTTAGATCTAATCAAATCTATTTCAATATATTCAAATCAATCTTTACCATCTGGATCAATTATTAAATTATAATCCATATCTTCATCATAAATATAACCATAAGGTTTTGGAAGAAACAGAATTGAATTTTTTGAAAAAAATCTCGTTGCATAAAGGCCCCAATTGCTTTGTTGATCATTAATTGGGTGATTTTCAACTTGAATTCCATCTGGTAAAATACAATGAATATTTGATGGACAATGTTGAAGATCGGGATATTTTTCTTTTATTTGTTCATCATTTAAGTCTTCATTTGTTTGCTTCTCATTTGTTAATAAAGCACATTGTTTTGCAGATAACTTATATATTGGAGGTAAAGATGAAAATATATGTCTTTCATTCAAATGTAATGGTGGTTCTAACATTTTCGTAAAAATCTTTTCTGAAATATACAAATATCTCATTAATTATATCAATAATTCGATTATCTGATCAAATCAATTTAGAATATTGATTTGAATTTTGTTCACACTATTTAAAACTGCCTGAAAAGTATTTTGTGATGACTAGGTTTAATATTCGATTATACCGAAATAAATTTGGAAAACGATCAATTGAAGTATCTTTATCATGTTATTGTGGAGATTAATCATAAATCATTTTCATAACTAGACCTTAAAGAAAAGAAAGAAATCAATAGAAAAGTGATATAACAATATCAATACTCTATACTATTGATATCGGATATTGAGTATTTATATGAAAGTGTGAATGAAGATCTTCTCATCAACATATACATCCTATTATTAACATCATTATATTCTTTTCTCAATGTCGAACGATTCCGAGGAGCAAATCATTTGGATATATATAGTTTAACATGGAAATTGAAGAATACGATCATTCATAGCAAAAATAATAGCATCCCATTATTTTTAATTTTGAAGTCATGATGAATTGTTTCTCATCGTATTTTGTAAGTATCAGAGATTTCAAATTTATAAGGAAAACTTGTCGATGACCGATTGATAATTAATGATGGAAATGAAATATTCTGAAATAAATTGAAGGAAAGAATTTTCTCCAAATCGTTTATGTGTTTTATTTCAACTAACTTCTTATAAACCATAATCTTCGAAACATGTTTTGTGTCTTTTCACGAGCTTCATGAATAAGAAATATTCGTCCGTCTTTTTTTCTTATTTGCACTGACAAAAACCAAAACCGGGTAGGTGTTCGATTCTTATTTTTGTTCTAATAATACGTGTCTTTTTTCATTCGTTGTGTGCATGTGTACATCTATCCTTGATGTCAATATTAGTTTTTTCTATTTCATCATCGTCCCCAAAAAGGAAAAATACTAAAAAGATTTTCATTAACAAGAAAAAATAAAAACAAAAGATTGCTTTTTTGTAACAAAAACCGAAAGTTAACATTGTAATGAAAATCCTCTAAGAGATACATATGTCATTTGAGATACGAGAAGTTCGTAGGCATTTTCTATAAAAGAAAGCCTGTATGATTGTTTCGAAAAAAATATATCTTGAATCGAAATTATGACAGTAAAATCAAATAAAAAACTACCTAAGTTCTATGTACACCATTCAAACATTTACATCACTCACGACCACAGCTCATGCCACTATTATCATCCAAATTATATTGCAGTTTATAAAAAATTATAAAGCAAGTGTCATACATGTTTTATCATTTTATATGCGACAACATTAATAATTTTAACCCTTTGGTTACGGATCAACCATATATGGTGTTTAAAGTTTTGTAGATATTACTGTCATTAAAATATCATTTAGACTTGATCGAAAAGACTCCTCCATTTTTTTTGTATCTTGGTAATATGATTACGTCATCGTCGCCAATAACTATGCATGTTTATGCGCTCTTTCTTCCATTCTGACACGTCTGCTTCTCATTTCTACATTGTGTAATATATTCTGGTATATTGTTCTTCTTTTTCTTTTTTGTTAACATGTTCTCTCATATATATAAAACTGCACATTCTACACAAGAAGCTTATCGTATCTTTCGATATATATTCTTAGAGAATCGAAACAAACTTTTGTTATTCTATACGTGTATTTTTATTTTATATAGACAATTTATTATTCATATCTTTTACGTAAAATTTTTCGCAAAAGATAGCAACGTCCACACATGATGTTTCGCATAAAATCGAGATGGATAGCGGATATGAAGACGATTTCAAAATGGATATTGATGAAGTTTATTCGTCAGACGTGGATAGCGATGAATCAAACGACGAAATAACATAGAAAGAAGAATCTGTAAATCGAAACTGGAATAAAACTACTTTTGAACCACATCTATTTCACTTCGACGAGCAAAACTCTGTTGTTTCATCAAAAATTAGCGCTATGGAAAAACCATACTCCTCTTGAATGTTTTGAGTTACTATTTGACAAAAAAATAATGATATCATCTGTTATGGGCAATTACCAAGCTAGTATCATAAGGAATTGTCCTACATATCTTCTTGCGTTCTGCACATATATATGTTTATTTCGTTCTACATGACGTCATGTCATATGTTCATCATATGTGCTCTTGCGTTCCTTACGTCATATTTTTTCCCTGTATCGTTGGTATTTTCTAAGTCTAGTAACTCTATATAAACTCGATATGCTTTGGTAGGATGGCGTTCAGTTGTGTAACTATTTCTGTTTTACAATAAACATCATTCAAGTTAAAACGGATCTAACATCATCGTGAAACAAACGATTAAGTATCATGACTTTTCTATGGATGATGTAGCACATCATAAAACCACACATCGGACGAAATTGGTACCGACAAATTGTCCGGAGATATACACTTTTATAACAACCTTTATGCTAATGGCCATAGCTGAAAAGAATAAGATCCTCGACAACTGGTATACTAGTCCTTTCCTATTCGAAAGATGATATAAATTCAAAACAGGTGCATGTGGAACTATACGCAAAAACCGCCTTGGCCCAGTAGTGTTCAGTTCATTGACGAAATGTAAGTTTGACTATAACAATCATCATTTTCCATTTCTGGTTGCAGAAACAGCAACAGGAAACACCGGACGAAGAGCTTGTATAGTTTGAAATCATACAAGCAGATGGGAGAAAAAATGTACTTATACACGTTATCAATGTGATGTTTGTAACGTCGGGCTTTGTGTGATAGCTTGTTTTGAGCATTATTATACTTTAAAACACTTCTAAATACTTCTATATATTAATAAAATTTATTTCAGACTGTTTTAGAAAGAAAAAACAAAAAAAGTTCATCTTTAAAAAACTGCAACTAAAACGTTAAATCATTCATAGTATTCACACTGTAAGAATTTATTGAAAAAATGCCTTGTATTTGTTTGCTTTTTAGAGATGCGATAAGATATGTAAACGATTAATTGATCTGACAGGAGTCTCTCACATTGATTTGAAGATAAAGATCTCGATTAATTTTACAAATGATGATACTAGTAACGCTCGTCGAGGCAGACTCGCTGTGCCCTCGACTGAACCACTGACTAAAAATAAAATAGTCTTATGTGCGTTTTATGCAAAAAAAAGACAAGTATAACCCCTGAAAGGATCCCCAGAGACTGATCTTCATTCGCCTCACAGTCTTCAAAAGAGTCAAAGGACTACTTGTGCTGCTGTTACTTATTCTATATTTCTGACTGGCAATTACTCTTCACAGGAAGGAGAAGTTCGCTATAAATGACTATTATGGATTTGCACTTTTAAACATGTCCTCCTTTTTCTAAAAGAAAGATAATTTCAGTAAAACCAAATGAGACTATTTGTTTCGCATTCGAACGTGTCGGACTGTTGATACTTTGGTAACTGGCTAGATTACCAGGCGCAGCTCGTTGTTCGTCGGCGCCACTCACAACTCGCCGCTCCAACGCTGTCCGTATCTATCATATAATTACGCGTGTGCTACTAAAAAGTATCGAAAACTAATTAGCACTCCATCAGTATCTCATGGATAATATTATCTTCGTCCGAACATTTGAGGTTATCTCCTAATTAAAAAGCTTAAAGGCCTACAAAAACTCTCAATACATCGAAGCTCAGCATTTAAGGTTGCTCTCCAGTATGTACCTTGTGAATGAATGTATTTTTAGACTACTGGTCTTTGGTATGTGGCAGTCAACAGAGTGTGTTTTTACTTTTTAGTAATCAACTGTTCTATGTAGCCCTCCTCTCAGGCGCGGATTAAATGTTTTCTTCATTTCTGTCACGTCCCTGCCTCTTCACCCCTCCTCCAGCCAACCTCGAGCCTCAGAGCCCCTCCCAAACGATGTTTCATGAAGTTGTGAGCATCTTCGAAAAAAATGTTTTTTCGCCTTCGACCTCTGACCCTGACACGAACAGACAAACATACAAACTATTTTTTTCTTATGACTCTCCTTTCAGTCGAGGGAATAATTAATTTATACATTTCGAATAATAATTTCACATGATAGAGACTGTATTTTCTTATAAATTATCAGAATATTGTCATATGATAAAATTCTATGGATGTATAATTATACTACGTTTTCGTTTTATTCTTGATTAATAAGTTGCTTTATTAGTATATATCCATAAATTAGAGAAAAGAAAAACACAGTTTGAAATGTATTTCCGACTCATTTGTAATTACAGTTAACGATGTACTGCATTTGAACCTATCTTTCCGGTTAATTTATAAGAACATTCTTTTTCGATATGATCCCCAAACATAGATGTGAACTCGTGCGTCTCTAATGGTAGATGCAACAAACCGTGTTCGAAATATTCATTTATTTTTCAAAAAAATGACATAATTTGATGACATAAACCTGGTAATTATATATAAACATGTTTTTAACATAGAGACAAAATTATGAATGCAAAAAGTACTTCTGAGAAAAGTTTCTGATATTATATATGTCCATAACTATATCTGAACAAAATTGTAATTAATTAGTTTGAAGTGCTTCTTATATCATACAGATTTTCTTATATTACAGCATAGTTTCCATAAATATAGCGATAAAACTAATCATTTTCTTTTTATATAGAAAATTTCTTTCTATAGAGAATTAAGAATAGTGAATAATCGATGTTTTTATTGAGAAATATTTTTCAAACATCTTCTACAAATTTATTAGTCTTGAACACAATCCAACCAATTCTACGGATCGATTTTCATTAAAAAACCAACTTCAGTACTTTATCCTTTAATGGTACCATAGAAACATAGTATAATAACTAACATCTGAGTCTTGTTATATTTTATAGAAACTCAAAAAAAAAGCAATCTTATTAACAGATAGCGTAATCAAATGAACAAGTTTCATTTTGAATTCATCTTCATAAGATAATTGAAGAATTAGAGACGAAAAAAGAAATCTTGAGAATAATGCTGGATTGGGGCACGGGTACTGTAATTAATCATTCAATTGTACTGATGTTTGTTGGAATACTATTTATAAGCACAAAAAGGAAGAAAATATAGAAAGAGAAACAGAAAAAAAGGAGAAAGAGTATGGATGTGTGAGACTACAGCCTTAAAGAGTATATCGTGTAAGAACCTTTTCATTCCGATCCATACGTCACTTCAGCCGCCGTTACTTAGACACATATCCACATTTCCAAAATTCTCCTTCACAATGTTAATACAGTTTTCCTGCCAAATATTTTCAATTGAACTGTAGGAAAACTTCTTCTCAGCGTCTTTTGTCATAAACTTTTATGTGATATCTAAAAAAAATAGATTAGCATAGACATTGTCACACAACAGACACTTCATTTCATTATCTTTCTTATAGTTTTGAGTGCCGCATAAATGTCTGATGAATATCTTCTGCAATTCTCATGTTTTAATTCAACATTGTGCTCAATGAAGTAGTCGAAAGTACAATAGCATTTTCGAAGAAAAAATAGAAAATACTTGTTGCGAAACAAAATTATTTATATTGATTGTTAATGTCTTCGTCAGCAATCCTCATCTCGATTTCACAATGGCTCGTTATCATAGTTGGCCTTTCTTTTCTATTTTTTGGTCTTATTGGCACACTGGCTAATCTATTGATATTCTCAAATCGACGTCTTCGAAAGCTGCCTTCGACTCAATATATTCTCATTCAATCTATTTTCAATATTCTTATTTTTAGCTTCGCTCTTTTAGCTCAAATACTTGTTACAGGATTTGTTTGGCCTTATTTCTTTGCTTTTCGACTCGTCTGTATATCACGTAATTATATTGGAATATTTTCAACACAATCATATCTTTATCTCAAATGTCTAGTAGCATTTGATGCATGGGCATCAACATCAGAATCTGTATCAATTCGTCAATGGAGTACTGTTAGGCGAGCTCGTCTTCTCATTTTGATCAATATCATGTTTTGGAGTTTACTTAGTATTCCCTATGCCATTTGGAATAATAATATCCTACAGAAAAATATCTGGCAATGTTCTTTAGTTGGTGAAATATTTCAAAAATATCACGGATACTTTTTTGTTCCAACTTTAGTTCTATTCATTCCTTTATTATGGCTCAGTTTCTTTGGATATCATACTTATAAACATATAACTCGTTTTAAAAGATGTATTCGTCGTCTAGTACGATTAAAACAACAATTTACTCCTATGATCCTTGCACAAGTTTTTGTGTTGATCATCTCATTCGTACCTTACACTGTACAATACACTTACACAACAATTACAGCTAATTGGCAGAAAGATTCTCAATGGTTGGCAATAGATAGTATCATTGTTCTTACTGGTCGCATGTGTTTCTTTTTCAACAATGCTGTTGAATTTTATATTTATATTTATCTATCAAGTGAAATTCGATCAATTTTCAAACAATTAATATTCAAATTAATACCTATTCGACTACGAAATGTAGTATTACCCATCTGATACTCTTAATGATGAGAATAACGTAGTGAATTAGTTGATGTTTTATGTTGTATTTTGCTTTATACGAATGTATGTTTTTCGAAATACAGACTAAAAAAACGAAAAGATCAAAATAAAATCGGTGGAACTTTTATTCAATGTCTCAACGTTATTCTAAATTCTTTCTAAAAACTTTTTTCGAAACAATCATTGAGTATCCATAAGTGTTACACTTGAAACTTGAATTCAACTACAGTGAAACCCCTGTTAGTGAACACCCCTCGTTAGTGATCAACCTGTTATACTGAGCACCTGGCGGTCCCACCGAGCGAATTTTGCTGGTTTTGACCCCCTCGATAGTGATCCCCCCGCGATTCTGAATGTGAATACTTTTTTCTGGTCCCGACTGTATAAACGAACCCCTCTAATATGAACAACTGTAGAGGGCGCCATTCAATTCGAAATTAAAAGAATGTATTTGATTGGCGAATTTTACGATTGGTGTATAGAGAAGGGAAAGACAAAGGAAAAATCGATTGTTTGTGTTTATCCTTGCATTTTCTCTCTTTATTTGTTGACGGTGATGAATTGAATATAACGTCTCGTAGAGAACTTTGTCTGGAAGAGAAAATCAATTTAATCAAAGAGAAGGAGCGTGGATCACCGCATCGTGAACTCAGTGATCGATTCCATATCTCGGCTGGAGCAGTTTCTGACATATTGAAACGAAATTTAGAATACATGAATGATTACGAAATGAATCGCAATGAAAAACCCAAACGGAAAATGAAGATCTACTCTTTCTTAAGTTGTAAATGGATGACATGAATATGATTTCAATAAACTTCTGATAATCAGTAGAATACGATCAAAAGTAGTTATTCAGCTCAAAGCCAGTATTTTTACATTAACCCCCTTTTAACTGATCACCCCGTCAATGTGAACAATTTCGCAAAGTCCCGTTAGTGTTCACATTAGAGGGGTTTCACTGTATGTCCCGTCCATGAGAACTACACCATTCGACTCAGAATTTAATTCTGCATCGAATGGTGGTACTTTTATTCACCGGACAAACTTTGGAAAATTTTCTATCTGTATCTTTGTTCGTTTCCTTTATGTGTATTTATAATTCAGATAGAATTTTTCCAAAGTTTGTCCGGTGAATAAAAGTACCACCATTCGATGCAGAATTAAATTCTGCGTCGAATGGTGTAGTTCTCAAGGACGGGACATACGTAGTAAAAAAGTTTTTACCTAACATATCGTTTGTTCGTGCTAGCTCCTTCGTGCTAGCTTCACATCAATAAAACTCTTTTAATTTCGCCTCAATTCGTTTCGGTATCTGTTTCAGATAACATTTCTTAGTGATTTTGAAGCAGTTTTTCGAAAGAAAATCGATTGTTAGATGAGGCATATTTCTTCAAATAATCAGGTTATGCGAACGAATCTGTGCCAGTCGTACAGCAACATATGCAAAATCGCTGGCTTGGACACAAATATATCTCATGTGATCAGCTATAAGAACATCTCCTTAGAATGACTATCTTTCACCCCGTTAGTCATTTGTGTTCATAATTCACAGAAAGGTACTCCGCTATGACTAATTGTTTCGTCAATGCATACACTGACAACCGACAGTTCTAAGTTTCTCGATCAATCACTTCGACCATTGTTTGATAAACATGTTTGTCTAACAATAAATATTGACGTTGTTGATCTCGTTCGCTGTCTCGAAGCATATGCCGCAAATGGCTATTTGAAGCCAACAACCTTATTCCACTTGATGCCATTCGGAAATTAGCTCGTCTGGTTTTGATAGAAAAATGTGTTTACGTATGATAAGAAATTCGATCAACAAGTAGTCAATGGCGCAATGGGATCAGCTTTTACTCTAACTTTGCCCAATATCTTTATGTGGAAATGGGAAAAGCCGTTTGTCCTTTATCAAACAAGTTCAAATGAAATCTGTAGCCGGTACGTTTACCCTTTGATGTAAGTGCTATACTGGCAACTTATCGATTTCATTGCTCTTTACTACAGATACATTGATGACATCATCTGTACGTCGAACGAATCTTTCGATAAAATCAATCGAATGTTATATGAAGCCCATTTATTTCATCACAATATCAAATTAGTGCGCCAAATCTGTTCAAGCGTATCATTTCTCGATGTTCAGATCGAAAATAAAAATGGCAAATTGCTAACATCAGTTCATCAGAAAGAATCAGCTGAACCGTATGTGATACCATTTACACCCGATCATCTAAAGCACATATTCACGAATGTCATCAATACGGTACTTTTACGAGCCATTCGATATTCTTCAACATTTGAAAGTGAACAACGCTCCATCAAACTAATCTATCTAAATGGGATACTAATATCATTGTCTGTTACACATATGAAAATCGATTAGCGGGCTGCAAAAAAGATATCCATAAACTTTGGGACCAACACTTTCAGCAGACTTCAGTAGCTAAAAGTGACAATTACTAAGATCTATTAAGACTCGGCCGCACCTTCACTGGAATAATTTCGCTTCGTCAATCATTTCATTTCAGATCACCCATCTACGACACCAACAATTCGTTTTAATAATGAAACAACAAGCCCGATAAAATGAAGGCGATAATATTTACAAATTCTTTTACTTTCAAATAATCTCATATCTCCTTCAGGTATTCGCCAACAACAAAACTCTGAAGGCGTTCAGAATAAACTACACAATATTTTATTTCATAAAATGCAACGAAATCTACTTATTTCTCAGTGTTCACATTCCTAAAGAAGGGAAGAAAAAACAGAATCAGATAATCACCGACAACGACATATGTTCTACTTCAATATTTCTTTACAAGTCCCAGCCGAAGTGAAAAACAAAGAAAACGAAGGGAGACCAGAATACTCACTTATAATATTTTATTATGATACCAACCTCTGTGTCAACAATATCTGCTATAAAAACATTTTAATGTTTTTGAACTTTGCAGATTACATTGTCTAATACCAACTGAGGAGACCCTTGAGCAAGGTCGAAACGCGTTTTGGTTTTGCTTTGACACCCTCACCCTCAAGACATTAATTTATGCATGTGGAAGAATTCGATTTACGACTTAGATATACTCTCATGCACGTCGATTTTCCGAAAAAGTAGACAACGAAATGAAAAAAAGGGACATAATTCAACTTTAGAAGATCAATAAAAACTTTTCTCGCTGACATCTGATATTATTGATGCTTGTGATCCACCAGGATGTGATTTTGGTACCAGTTGCCTTATTTCATATTCATAGATATTTGGTTTTGAACCGTGTAATTGCCGGTGTTCTTCATATTCTTGTTTCTCAATTTGTTTACTAATTGTTAACTGATTAGATGAATTAGAAAGATGTTTGTTTACTATTAAATTGCCGTTTTTGCAAATAGTTCGAAAGAAATCGGATGTTAATAATTTCTCAATTTCATCGTCGTCAACATGCCCTTCATCATGTGGTTGTATTCTAGACAATGTCGATTGAAGATTAAGAGAATTCGTATCAGATATTGAATCAATCTTGAGTTGTTCAGCTGATACGGATATTGTGTTAATACTACAATGAGACGAACCAATTGGAATAGTCTCACTATCTAATGAATTAGTATCCAACAATGGAATTTTTCGTTCTACCATTGGTTCGAACATCAATGTACTACCAATCTTTTCACTCTGCATCTTTTTTCTTGGCGAATTATGATTAGATTCTAAACCATGGCGATAGTTTTTGCTTCGTTTATTTTGGCCTATAGAGAAAAAAGTTTTCTACAGATAATATTTCTCATATGAGAAAATAAAACTTACATGAAACACAGGAAAATGTCGATGACATAATGTTACGAAATAAAGAAGAAAGTAATGGCATGCTGGTAATAGGCAAAAAAAGAAATGTGACAAATTTGTAGTCTTCTTTTACTTTTGTATTTGTTTAAAGCAATGCTTTTACACGTGTAGTTTATTGATGAAAATATTTCATACGAAGAAAAAAAAAAGAGAAGCTTCATTCGTTTTTTTTATGTAGTAGAAAAAAGACGTTGAGAGTCAACATAAAGCAGTGAATCGAAGGATAACGAGAAAAATAGTAGAGGGAGCATGGTGACGTGACTTGTTTGTGTATATAACTAAATAATAAGATATACCACGTGCATTATTGACTGATAATAACTATATAGCGATAGTAAGAAAAACTGGGTAAGCCCCTCCGGAAAAATTGCTTTAATCACTGGTGGCCCAGACGATATAGGTTTTGCTACTACTCAATAATTGCATGTCCTTCTTAATGGTCGACGTCAAGATGCTCTTGATGATACACTAACAAAGCTTGGCAGTAATAAAATAACTGCAATCAAAGGTGATGTGTCGAATATGGATGATTTCGACAATCTGTACGATGTGATTAAAAGAGAAAAATGATATTTAAACATTCTTTTTGCTAATTCCGGTGCATACAAAGTAGTACTACTAGATTCTATAAACGAACCATATTTTAATCGTTTGCTTAATACTAGTGTCAAAGGAATGTTATTTACTAATCGATGGTGGATCGATTATCTTGAATGCATCTATATATTCTTACTACGAAAGTATTTCCTTATTATAGTGTTTACAGTGCTGCAAAGGTTGCTATTCGTTCTTTTGCTGGTTGTCGAGCAATTGATTTGAAAAGTTCGCAAATTCGGGTAAATGGTTTGAGTGCAAAACCAGTAGAGGCCTCAGCAATCAAAAATATTGTTAATACTGAATAAGACAGGAAGAAAATCTACGTCTTATTAGCCGATCTTGCAGTACTAGGTCGTACGGGTAAGCCTAATGGAATTTCTAAAGCTGCAGTGTTACTCGCTTCGGATAATAGCAGCTATATCGCTGGTATCGAACTTTTTGTTGCTGACGGTATAACACAAATTACAAATATTTGCACTTGTTTCTTAATTATTATTTTGATATTTTTATTGAAAGCTGAAATAAAACGAAGATTTGGCGTCATTTCAACGAGATTTTTCAGTGAAAATTATTAATGTTTCATCAAAATGTCGAGAGACGATGCGAGAGAGAATTCCGATTGAGGCGATTAAAGTAAGTTGATACCCCTCACCCTCATAAATCCTCAAAGAAAATTCAGACAACAAGCCAAGAGACTCAGTGTTGCTATTACTATTTCTAGTATTAGGATGATGATGATAATGAAAGTTTCTCATCTTTTATTAGGAATTTTGCGAGGTCCATACGCGTGTGCTATATTGTCTAATGGCATTGTTTGTTCGGCTGCAACCATCTTTAGAACATTTACTAAATTAATTCTTGGAAAAATCTTTCTTATACATTAGTTTGACGCCACAGTAACAAATAAATGAAGAAAAAAAGAAACTAATTAGAAAATAACACACTATTGGATGACTATGTTTGCCTAGAAGAAATTCTTTGCTATATCAAAGAATTAGGAAATTTACTTTAGAAATTAGAAAAAGGAAATACTTTTTGTATTAGCAGCGTCATCCATGTTCCTAATTGAATCACCTCAATCGAGATCATTTCCACATTTGCTAAAGACAGCTAGAATTGTACCGAAATGGTTAACTCTTGTTTCTTTTTAACTCAAAACTTTTTTCTCATTGTCGTAAATCATAAGCACACACTAGTTTTTTCAATCCACGAAATTCTTTTAAATCATTATGAGAAAAAGTAAACTGAATTTTTTATCACACAGATGACATGCGAAAAATATGTCACATGTACCAAGAAATGCGGAGAGGAAGAAAAAGAGAATGATACTTAAACTCGACAGTTACTTGATATTTCATTTTCTATGTAAGTCATTCTATTAACAAGAGTTTCATTGTTAATGGCTTGGATAAGAATTTTTTTCTCACTGTTGATTGTACATACAATGCAAACCATAGTGCAAGATACACGCTCATTTCGAATGTCGGTCAGAAATGGTTGGCGTTATCGATGTGCTGATACAACTTGTTTACCATTCAGATCTGTCATTACACCGAACATTCGCAAATGTGAAACAATTTGTTTAGCGCAAATTCAGTGTGAGGCAGCGAGTTTTCATCCGTTAACTTTGAATTGTGAATTGTTTGCGAATGTATCCGATGAAAATGGAAACGTATTAGTTGACATGAACACTGTAACTATGATTGTCATTGCTGGAACCCGTTTACCACTGGGTAAGTGCGAAAAGAATATATTCCAAAACAGGGGATTTCCAATATCACATATGAAGTTTAATTTAAGAAAAAATCTTTTCCCTCTCTCTTTTGACATAATCAGATCATTTGTGCAATTATATACTTTACTGGCGGAAAAACACCTTGATGTAGTTATCGAAGTAAAAAACAACAACAAAATTTCAAAAAATGCTGTGTTATTATTACCAATTTATTTCTATACTCAAAAGATCTCATAGAGTTCTTCGTTAGCTTAGACATTTCAACTATGCAAGATAAGTCAGTTGGATTCCAAAGCAGAAAAAAACACATATCGTTGTCGTTTAATGTTAGACAGATAATAATTTTAGGCAAAAAATAAATCGAGGGAGACTCCTCACAACTTCTTACACTCATACTCTCAATTAGTCTTCAACTAAACATGAAAGATGTCGTCGAAATTTTTCTACATATATACTGATTTCTATCAAACAAGGTAATATTCCCTCGACTGTAAGGAGGGTCATATGAAATAAAATAGTTTGTATGTACGCATGTTTATGCCAAGATGAAAAGTCAAACACATTCTCGCGCATTTTGGCAGTGCCCATAGATCCTCATGGGACGTATTTGGAGAATACACACAAGTTGTTGAGTTGCATTTTGTTTCGAAAGTCATAATTTCAATTTGAACAAAATTTCAATTGTTTCTTCCTACAAAGATCCTAGGTTAGGTCGTATCATCATAAGGACAGAAGACTGGTTTTTTGTTACACAGTCAAAGGGTTAAGTGAGTCGAATGACGAACGTTACTTGTATATATCGTAAAAGAAGAAAGATAGAAATATCTTCATGCACTCGCATGAGCTTCGTCTGATCCGTCAGGGAATTGAATTGTCGTGAAGCAATCGAAAACAGTTCAGTTCTTCTTATAATCTTATCAATAACTATTTTTTCATTTTCATTTTCTTTCAAAACTAGAACCAACTACCAGCACTACCACTACGTCAACTACCAGCACTACCACTACGTCAACTACCAGCACTACCATCACTTCCAGCACATCCACTACTAGTGTTACGACGACGACGACTAGTAAGGGAAAGTGAGGGTGACCTCTTGTTCTTTGAACAGTTTCTTTGATTCTGCCTAATGTAAACATTAGTGTAGTCAAATAATCTTCGCCCCAAGTCAAAAAATCTGACAACGGATCATTTTGGGCTCTGGTTGGCATTCGATCGGGGTTGCTGTCGAATTTTTTTTAATTTGAAATCAAGTTGAGAACAATATTTTCGATGTAAACGAACCGTCAAAATAACTGGTGGAAAGTTCGATCCAGAAGCTGTAGATTCTTTTCACTCTCTTAAAAAAACATACTCGAAATACAGATAATGAGAAACGACAATGAGATCTATTATGACCGCAACGAGCTCGAGAGAATAAGTCAACTTATCATATTAAGATCGTACTATGCTGTTTATTTATTCTTAAAACTTTTTTTAAAGAGAAAAATATTAGGTTCGGTAAACTCGAATTAAAATATTCGAATGTCGTTGTTGTAATTACAGAAAATCTTTTTGTAATTTAATACAAGCGTTAAAAAACACCTGTTGCAAATCTTCAAGATACTAACACTCATATTTTTCTTTTCCAGCATGTTTCAAGTGTGGTAATCAAAATACCTGCTGCGACACCATGTGTGTATCAGGTCAATGTTGCAATCATTTTCCGCACCGATGTAATGATGGTAGAATCTGTTGTTATGGTTGTAATTCGAACAATTATTGTCACTAGACAAACTGAGAGATTTTATGTATTTATTTTAATGGACTGCTTTTATTCTGTTTATTTATTGAACATCAATATCAATCTAAATGTTGTAATGTCCGTGTAAAAAGGAAGAATTCTATTTCTGTTCGTTGTCATTAACACATTTAATTAGGCTGTACGAGTTTTTCAAAACCTTGAGAATATGCATGTTAATGTGGATTAAGACATAATCCATTCAAACCCATATCCAACAGCTAAAATATTCAATAAAGTTTATTAGTACCTTCTGTTGTCGTTGCAAATATCCAAGTTTCATTTAGAGGTAGGACAGTTCCATATTAGTTCCAGTCAGAAGAACTATTTAATAGTTCGTTTGAATAGAACTGATCTGTACTTACTACTTATTTCTCTGTAGCTCTCGTGATTTCATAACCATTTATGGACGATTCACGATTTTCTGCTGAAGACTTCTATTCATTCACTGGAAGAAGTCGTTTATCTAAACAATATACGTATTCGCAATTCACAAACCTGAAAGAATTTTTATGGAACCGATAGTGATTTGAGAGTGTCTGTAATTAAAATAAAACAGAAAAAGTAAACCATGTGGTCATGATAAATGACATTCCAGAAATTTTCAAATATGTCATTCTAACACAATGATCTTCTGTGAAAAATTATCTTTTGGATTCATACATGATAACGATCAAACGTATACGCTTGTAGAACGTATGTGTTGACTGTCGAATGTTCGTCACTCTGTTGTCAAGGGTTTCTTTAGGACTGTGCTCTATAAATAACGACATGCATGGAAAAGCATCGATCTAATAGCGCATAGTAATTATTCATATAGACCAAAGATATTCTTACGTTTTATCTTTTTGTATTGGATGTCCATGTCTAAATAACTTTCGGTATTTTGTCAATACTAAAGTGTATTTCCCATGCGTTCTTTTTCAAATATTTGTGTACTTTTTCAATAGAAAAGAATAATGCGACAGTGTAATAAAAATTGTTTGTAATCTTTATCTTCAAACTTTTTACACAGTGTTTTGTATGTCAATTATCCCACTCATGTTAAGTGCATTTTAAGAAATCGATATAAGAAGAACAAAAAAATTTTGATAAAGCTTTTGGACAAATAAAAACATAACACCGCCAGTATCATCAATATTAGTGCGATTAAAGAGTAGAAAAAACTCAAGTAGAAACTAATCTGATGAAATCGAATTGAAATAATTCTTAGAAAAAAGCTAAACCTTGCCCTTTAAAGAAATCGAGTATTTTAAATTTCTCACCGGGTACTGACGTACCAGGGATGGTACCATAGCGAAATGCCATCGAGTTTAACTTCGGCAAAGGATTTCCGTACTTGCGCCAGAAAGTTGAGAAAGAATAATCGTCTTTTTCGTACGCTTTAAAATTGGCAAATTCTTGTTTTATAGTTAAGTCTTTGCGTTCAGCAATCTCAGTTGAATCATCAGTTATACCACATTTTCTACAAAATTGTTTCAATAGTTCTATAGTGGTTTTTGAAGTTGCGACTAGCGAAGGAAGGAACAACTTGCACATTCAAATCAGCAGTAAATGAAGTTGATATGTTCACACTGAAACTTTCACCACTATTAATCACTTCTCTCAACTCAATGTTGAGCAGGTATTTTGCTGATTGTTTGTCTTCGTCTTTCATCAGTTGATGAGCAGTTGGATCCAGATAAGGACATGTTTTTAAGAAGAAAATTGAAAAATGCGATGAACGAAATTTTCGCGGTCACACTTCCAGCCATTTCGTCGCTAAGAAACAGTGTGCGACTACGAATCATTGCTTTTTTAAAGTTCTCTATGCATTACAGATGATACTAATTCCACAGAAAACCAAACAATTTAGACGTGACATTTCACAATCTGTGAGAGAATCGATGAAAGTGTTGCGAAGATTGACTGTGTCTCACATCAGCATTCGGTTTCTCATTTTCTAAAGATTATTTCGCTGTCAGATTGCATCTTTAATGTTGACTACATTTGAAACTTTAAGTTTGTTGAGATTGTTCAATAATGATCAGAATGTAATCTGTATCTAGAATGTGGCTTCTTCTATCTCGATTCTTAAGACTTACTATAAAAAGTCTCAGTCGCTTCAGCAAAGTATGAAAAACATTCAAACAGCATGGAGAGAATTATACCCATTCTTCATTTGACAATTTCAAATTAATTAGCTGTGCTTGTTTCTTGACTGATACTCCGTTGATTTGAGAGAGATTTCGGTAGACGATAGGCAAGATGGATTGATATAAAGGTAAATTATTCGTAGTGTAAAGTTTTAAGCTGATGTAATTGACGGATTCGTTTCTTTTTTGAATATTTCATTTGTTTTTTTTTGGAAATGAGTGAGAATGAAGGAGTTGTTGACTGATAACGATAAAAGAAAGAAAATAGATGAAATAAATTCTTATTTAAGTTGATAATCATCAAGATATGCTGACAAAAACAATGTTCCTCTTTTATGATATTCTTTAAGAATTGAAAGTTCGAAAGAAAGTTCTGACGTGCGTGAGATGATTTATAACGTGAAATCTATTTAAGTAATTCGGTTAAGAGTGAGAATAAGTGGATATCCTCATTCCTATTTTAAATTTTCAAAATACCATTTGCAAACGAATTCCAATCCTTGTGAAGTATTACATTTCGGTTGATATGATAGAATATTTTTAGCTTTTTCGATAGAAGCTTGAGAATGTGGAATATCTCCCAGTCGTTCAATACCATAGATAGGTTCAATATCAGCAGTAATTGGATCATAACAAGAAAGATTAGAACGTAAACTGGTAAATAATTCATTTAATGTTGTTTGTCCGCCAGATGCTACATTGATTATTATATTTATCTGAGTAATTTTAGGTGAGTTTTCATTTGCATTTAATCGTTCAAGAATGACATTAGTGGAAGTTACCATAGCAAGTTCATTAGCTTGTATAACATTATCAATGTAGGTAAAATCTCGAGAATAACTTCCATCACCATTGATTATTGGTCGTTCATGTTTGATTAAACATTTGATAAATAATGGAATCACTGCTGCATAAGAACCATTCGGGTTTTGTCGTTTACCAAAAACATTAAAATAACGTAATCCAATCGTTTCAATTCCATATAAGTTGGTGAATATCTGTGCATAAAGCTCGTTAACATATTTAGTAATTGCGTAAGGTGACAATGGTTTACCAATATTTTCCTCAACTTTTGGTAATTCTTTTGAATCCCCATATGTTGATGATGAA